GATTAAAAAGATGTTGTGAACCTCATCAACAGCCTTTAATGGTTCACTGCTGGACATAAGCCTCTCCTTAGAAAGGAGGTGTGAACCTAACTACACTCAATGTATCTCAACTTATAACTGCCGAGCGATGGTATTAAACGTATCAAAAACCTACGGTACGGTCAAAAATCTTTTTAACGGATTGCTACAACCAACTAAGAAGTCACCACAAAAAGATACAGTTAAGAAACAAGATACAATTCTTGACAAGCCACACTATAGTACCAGTCTAAACGTAGATTTTAATATTTTTTTTAATATACTGGATTTTTAATTACTTGACCATAGTTATAGTTGTAATAAAGATGTAAAACATAAGCATAACATTTTACACAATGCGCTATTTCTGGTACTCAGTTTTAAGAAGTCTACTCTTTCTGTTTCTTTCTGTTTTTTTTTAAAGACAACTCCCGCACATGACAGGATGTCGCGAGGGACTTTACATACATTCATGTAACGTACACAAAGAACACACGGAATCAAACAAATTTTTCAACCACAAAAAGTGTTGTCCGTGTGGTGACGGAATACATAGAATACAGACAGACACCACCCCCTTTTTTTTCTGTGCGGAAATCCCCTCGGATACCACTTACCGGTGGCAGTGTCGGACTCAAACCGACTAAAACCGCACGCCGTCTCAGGTACCAGTAGTCGGGGAACCAGGTATACCCTAGAAAGGAAATGCCTTTTGCCCCGACGTACCTCGGGCCATCTACGGCGGGTAGACGACCCCCCCTGTGTTGGAACCCCCATGTTCCCTCTGTACTCTGCCTTTTTCTGCTGTCAACCCCAGGCCTGCGGCTATGGAGGACGGAGGTCGTTCTGCGACCTACGGCGCCTGAGTCGTCTGCGGTAGCTGGCCCGTTCCCGAGCCTGGCGGGCTGGGAGAGTTCTATACCTCTCCTGGTCCCGCTCCGCCACCTCCTTCGCAAGCATAACTTGCTCGCAGAAGGAGACGGCAGAGTTCCACGCTCTCTCGCTCCGCACGATAGCCGCAATCAGGTTGTCGAGCCAAAGAACTCCCACTCCGATGGCCGCCACGAGGTCTTGCCTCTGCTTCACCCACGCCGGGCATTCTGCCACCGTCTGGAGCGCCGTGTCCACGGTCCGATCATCGCAGTGGTGGCACTCAGGCGTTGGCTCCTTGCGGATCAGACACAGGTGATCCCCGAAACATCCTTTCCCAGTGATCACCTGCGTCAGTCGGTATGAGAGGGTCCCGTGATGCCTCTCGAGCCAGTCCTCCATAGCGGGTCTTACCGCCGCGATGACGGCGAGTGTCACCACCCTTATTCATTCCGTGGGTATCGTAACAGCCGACTAAGGGAGCAAACTACGCAGGACAACAGCACTGCAGAGAGAAGGAAAACTTGACACAAACCCTGTACTAACCCGTCTGGTCAGCGTGGGCGTATAGGCCTATGTCCAGCAGTGGACTATTAAAAGCTGTTGATGTGATGATGATGTGATGTGACACAAAGTGTTGTCCCTTGTGTAAATCGAATCCACAATACTCAGCTCAGTAGGGCTTCCTACTTCTTCCTACTAAGTTAGAGTATTGTGGCGGGACGACCACTTAAACTAACTTCGTAAGCTCGCTTGTAAAGTGTGCTGATAGACGCGGTGTACAAACCAGCACACAAGCCATCATGGTAAGCAGTTATCGATTTTCATAAGATTGAATCACATCAGCAATAATTCTTGCTTTTTTTATGTTAGAGGGGGCAGACGAGCAGACGGGTCGCCTGATGGAAAGTGACTATCGCCGCCGATGAACGTCTGCAACTCAGGAGTCACAAACGCGTTGCCGGCCTTTTAGAAAGGAGTACGCTCTTTTCTTGAAGGTTTGAAGGTCGTATAAAACCGCAGACGATAACCCGTTCCACAGATTGGTTGTGCGGAACAAAAAGTGTCTCGAAAAGCGCACAGTGGTGGAGCGCCAACTATCCAGATAATGAGGATAAAAATTTTGGTATTAGTCCGAACAATTCCTCGGAGCACTCTCTATGATAAATGCGATAGAGAATGCAGAGTAAAGCCACATCTCTACGTAACGCCAAGGGATCGAGCCGATCGGAGATGTAAGGGCTATCGACGATTCGAGTCGCTCTACGTTGGATGCGGTCCAGAGGGAGAGGCTGGTACTGAGGTGCCCCTGCATAAAGATGAGAACAGTATTCCATATGCGGCCTGACTTGCGCCTTATAGAGCTGAAGGCGGTGGGCCGGAGTGAATTACTGCCTTGATCTGTTCAGGACACTGAGCTTCTTCGAGGCCAATTTGACCTTACCTTCTAAGCGACCCCGAAACTTTCGAACGAACTTCGACTTCGTTCGAAATGTCGATGCCTAGGATTCCGATGCTGGCTGAGGCAGTTAGGGAAGTGCTCTCAAACTGAGGTGATACAACAAATGGTATCTTTTTTGCGGTGAACTCACAAACCTGTGTCTTATTTGGATTAAACTGGACTAGAATTAGTCGGCCCCAATCTGAAACCTCCGATAAGGAAGTTTCAATTTCAGATACAAGTTTGTTTCGACTCTCGATGACGTCAAACAACTTCATCTGGTTGTTGTCAATATTACTCTGTCTCATAAACAATTATCGCTTTCGACCTAAGGCTTTATTCACAAGCTCAAATAAAGAGTTTAAGATAGCTAGCTTCAATTCTCCGACAGTCTCTCAAATCGATTTTTTTTTTCAAAACAATTCAGCTGTTCTATAGGCCTATGTTTATGTCAGTAGTACCGTATAAGTGGCTACAGTCAGCACTGAGTGAGAGAGCATTACTCATTAAAATCAAGTCATCATGAGAAAAGCAGCTTCATCAGGATTAAAATTATGTTTTTAAAAACCATGTAAGGAATTTGGAAGTGTGTATTCACAAAGCAGCTCTTTTTACTGTCAGATCAAAAAGCAACATATTAACGTGAATTGCTGAAATCAATTCGATGTAAGCTGCTGCGAAATACTTAAAAATACTATGTTTGTGGCCCCAGTAACGTCATGCGTTTACAGCATTCTAATCAGGATTAATGTAATTTATTAAATGAGTAAACAACGCCAGACACCCGAATTTCAATAACCTTTTTTTTTTTTTTAACGTGTGGAAATCCCCTCGGACCGACTAAAACCACACGGTGTGCCACTCTGCGCCTGTAATAGGAGGGATCCGGGAACAGCTGTTATTAAGACATCCGGACCCCTCCTAGCGCCTGCCCGCTCCTGGTGCGGGCTCCGTCTCAAAATTTTAACCTCTCTTTAGGCGACGTCCGGCACACGCGGACGCCGCCCCCTCGCGGCTAGCCAAACTAATGCGGGTGGAGGGGAAACCCACCCCGTCCACCCGCGGCCACAATCAGGGCGGCATGAAGCGCAGGAAAGCGCGCCTCCGCAGCGGATCGGGTCCGAGTGGAGGTCGTCCTCCCGGGTCTTCTCCGCCGCCTCCTTCTGCGAGATTACTTCCTCGCAGAAGGTTGAGACCGCGGTAAAACAACTGTTGCTACCGGGGCCATGGAGCGTACTACGGCCGGTAGCGAGAGATCCACTCCGATGACTGCAGTGAGGGCCCGGCGCTGCGTCGCCCATGCGGGGCAGACCGAAAGCGTGTGCTGGGCCGAGTCCTCACTGCAGTCGCAGTGGTGGCAGGCGGGACTCAGTTCCCTCCTAGCGACCGGCGAAATCCGCTCTCCGCCCGGGAGTCAGCCACTCGCCGATAAACTTCGGCGAGCACTTCCGCCTCCAAATCCCACGGGGGAGTTCGCAAGCCACCTCCGTTGAAACGGTGCGGTAACCGCGTATGGCTCTGACCGCCAATACCCTCTGAGGGCGCCAGAGGCGTGCCCTATTCTGGGCGGTCAGAGCCGCCGCCCACACCGGTGCACCGTATAGTGCCATTGACCGGACAACCCACGTGTACAGCCGTCTTGTCGCGACACTGGGTCCACCCAAATTGGGCAAAAGTCGCACTAGGGCAGACGCAGCGCCGACCAGCGAATTTCAATAACCTAACCCAATGATAATACCTTATTTAGATCCGCTGGTTTTGTCTTTAGATAATAAAGTAATGAAATTGCGAACGTTTGATTTTACTTTTATAAAGAGTAGCACTATTTTATTATGGATGTTGTAGATTCGTTATAGACTGCTTGGTAAGTACTTACTACTCTAAGGACGTGATCAGACTAATCCACGTTTTCTCTCACTCACCCTATGATGTCGTAATGGGTGTGTATGCGGTATAAAAGAATGTGAATCGTTGCAATTTGATGAGCTTTCACGGGAACAGTACATTAAAACATTGATTTTTCAACATTAGATTATTTGCAACTTTTGTAACTGAAACTTTTGAAATTTTTTAACTTAATTACAAAATTTCATTTTAAAATGAATTAATTTATTGCACGTATAATGTGCCGCAGGCATGATGGACCGACAACTTGAGAAAAGTGGCTGGCAGCAGATGGATGCGGACTGCGCAAGACCGGGATTTTTGCCTTGCCTGATTAGGATTAGGCTGATGATGAAGAAAGTGTAATCCTCTAGTATCATCAAATTCACTTAATATAACATTATCATAGTGATACTGTAATGTATGATAGAGAGCGATTTGTTAAAAAAACTGTAACAAATAAGTTTACATCTGTGTTTCTAAGGAGATTTCCATAATACATCAGTAACAACACACTTTAATGTATTCCAAGATGTATAAAAAGAATGTTTTTTTTTTTTATGAATCCAAGTTTCAACGGATTTTATGAATGCATTTATTGGTCCACAAAATCCACTGGTGGCGCGTAGAGGTGACCGGGAACGTTAGAAGGTGACAGTGCGATATACCACTGTCTTTTTCTTTACAAAATGCGTGGGATATATATATTCGGCTCTCATCACATCTAACAACAGAAACTAAAATTCACCAAACATTTGTCTTCAAGTTATCAAGAAATTTATTAAAAATGGTAAGTTTGATTTTTATATCTTACATTCGTCTTGTAGCAAAGAGATACTTAAATAACTGCTAAATTTTATAAGATTACACCTGTTCCTTGTTACGGCCTGTTGTTCTTTAGGTTTAACTGTTGTCTCAGTGAATCAAAAACTGATTCATCAACAGCCACCTGTGTCTACAACTAGTGTGATTAATTAATCATAATAATATACCTCACACATCTCATACACGGCCGTCTGATCCCAAACTAGGCAAAGCCTGAGCTATGTCATACACTATTTTAGCTGTTGGACTTTCATTAAATAAATAAATATTCTATCCAGACTGCTGATAAGCATTACTCTCATTGCCTATTCTCATTGCCTAACAGGAGACCCCAGCCACTAGATTGTAAGATGTTTAAGAAATTAATAAAGATATTATTATTAAAAGATATTATTATTATTATTATTACTATATATGTTTAAAATACATACTCGCAGTACTTGCAATTGGTCGCATTGTTAATAGGTCCACTATGTTAAGGTCTTAAATTGCCTGTTCATACCTATTTTCCCTCCGACTAAAGCAAGTTAAGTAGGCAAAAGAGCAAAAACCGGCGCTTGTGTTCTTAAATCAAGTTAAACCGCGTACTGAACCGCGTATGGAACTGGAGATATTGAGAAGTAAAAAGAAAATATATATACATAGTAAATTGCAAATTTCTTTTAGCGATATTCTGTTATAGCTATAATATCTTGTTGCATGCGATTCTCTTCACTAATCTACTGACTTCTTCCATCAATCAACTGTTTTGATCAATCTAGACGTCAATATTGGCTATATTTAAAAATAAGTAATAACTTTGTCCACGTTTTTCAGCGGTGTAACAGGTAAATTATACAAGATAGTCAACTCTTCCCGTTTAATTGTGAGACTGGCCCCACCTCTTTTGGTTGATAGTCATGACAAGATCTTGATAGACTAGATAACTCCATACGAACTTCATAGCACTTGACAATCGACAGGAAAGGCAAACATTTATGTATTCAAAATAATTTGATTACTGTCTAACGAACAATAGGACTCGAGTATCCAGTTTAATTTGTAGTCATTACTATTCGCTGTTAAACAACTTTGACATATCTGATAAATCGTTACGTCTAAAAACAAACATCTACTCTTTTGGGACTAACTTCTATTGCGGGTATAGTTAGCATTTAAAACACGAGCTAGAAAGAAAAGAAGATTGTTTTTACTAACCCATTAATAGCTACACACTAATTAATAGCTACACATAATGATGTCAATGATAATCCTTGTTACGTTATTTTTCCACAAAGTAATCCATAAAGTTTCCATAAAGTAAAGCCGTATTCATACTACTAGTGTTCGTTCAGTGGTCTATATTTGCAATTTCAGAAAAACACATATGAATTTAAATATTTCTAATTGTTTTTTTCTATTCTTATGGGTATATTGAATTGTAATCTAATTTTCAGATGTTTACATCTGAGATATGTATATGACACCGCAGAATGTAGCAAAACATTCCTTTTGTTGATAACAAACTATACTATGGAAAGAGAAAAAAAAAACTTTTACAAAGGGTAGTGAACTGAGGCCCTCTGTTGCTTTTTACTGATCACTAAATCTTATCAGTAGTTACGAAACCAAAAACCGCTTAATTGCGAGACTAACTCGATTGCCGAGGGTTCTATAAAAGAATAAAAATACAATAATTTCAGGGTTTTGCCTTTTTAGTGATTAATAGAAGGTAGTACTGGAAAACTTCTGTATTCATATGAATTTCTGTATTTATTTCAAACACATATTATATAATATGTAGTTATATGGTAAGCTAAAATGATTTGACACTTGAGTGTCAATGATTGAAGGATATTTAGACAGCCTTATGGAAGTTATTATCACTCGTCCGATTTTCCTTTTACGGTTTGACATCAATGTAGATCGTATCGTTGGGGACGAAGTCAAGGGTCAAACAAACAAATCACTTCTTGCCGCCGTCAAATAAACATGCTATACTCCTATTAAATCAAGATCATATAAAACTTATCATAACAAAAGCGCTTTTAACATATTAAACGATATTTTTAGGACGGTTGACGCCAACATAAGGCGTCATCTTGTACCATTGGATATCTGTTTAATTATATAATTTATTGATAGACAAGATAGGTTGTATCTCCTCTAAATGGACGAGGTTTTCTTTTAATGGAAGAGCAACGAGGCAAACGAGGAAGGAGTACGCTCTTTCTTGAAGGTTTGAATGTCGTATCGGTCCGGAAATATCGTACTTGTTCCACAAATTGGTTGTGCAAAGCATAAAGTATCTTGAAAAGCGCATAGTGGTGGAGTTGCGGCCGAAAGTTGCGGCCGGTATTAGTACAATTCCTCGGAGCACTCTCCATTGTACAAGTAATGACCAAGACACGTTGGGGATTGTTAGGGCATAGGAATATTTTCAGATTCGTTTACCCTTTTACCGATTAGGCGACAGACCAAGACTGCATCAGTTGGGTGAAATATAAACCGTTTTTTTTTAATGATACTAACAGAACGAATGCTAAAAAGGGCTACAAAAAAGTCTCTTCGCCTGTATATAATAATGTAACGATGATTATTAAATAAATAATATTCTGTTCTTTTCCATTCCATTCTAATATTTTTCCGCTTCTATAAAATCGGTGGTGTTCAGCTATGCATGTATAGCAATGCGGCTAATTGAATGCCTAATTAAGTACATGATTTTGAGGCGGCTCGTCTTTGGCTATGTTAAATAATTATAAATGTTTATTTTCAAATATTACCACGAAATTACATTGTATTGAGTTAAAGACATACATATATATATACACACATAATCGTAATCATAACCAAATGATGTATTTTTCAGTTCGTGAAAGTGCTCGCATTATGCTTGGTTTTGGGAATATGCCTTGCTCATCCCATCGAAGATGTTAAGCTTCCCGTGCCAATAGATGTTCCTCCACCAAATGCGCAAGGTGTACCAGTTAAACCGCTGAATGCTGACAGTTCGGATTTGAAGACCGATCCTAGCACATGGTGGCACTCTTCGTGGTATCACACTTCTCCGGTATACTACTACTATCATGCACCACGGTAATATCAGTTTGTTTTATATAATTGGACAAAATATTCATTAATTCTTACTTGTCATTCACTAAACAAGAAATAAATTACCATAGGAAGAACTTCTTTTTGTGATAAAACATATCTTATTAGACTCTATCACTATTTTACACATCACTATTTTCCTTTCCTAATCTCTCTATCAAACTTTTAATGATTCCAAATTAGAACAACATATTAGTAATATTCTAGAAGGCCCTCGCGGGTTTAAAGGAAATACAAACATCTAAGGGTAGCTGAGACTCGAATAACAAGCAAACATCATCCTTATCTGGCGAGCTTTAGAACGAAAATTATTTATGTCAAACTGATACTAAATTCAATTTTTTCTATTCCAGCCCCGCCTATACCTACTGGCACCATTACTATTAAATAAATAGCACCTACAATTCGAAGAAATTGGTCGAAGTGGTGTAGGTACTTATCTACTCATTCATTTTGTTATGTAACTACACTTAAGTTTGGGAATAAATGAAAACTTCCAGAAATTATCCTTATTTTATTGCTATGTATTTTGGTTTTCGGGATGATGATAAAGTTAGTGCAATTCCAATTGTCGAATAGTTGTGCTTAATATACATCATCGAACTAATGAGATATTAATATGAGCTACGATGGCGGTTTCAAGTCTGTAGCCTGGTACAAAGAATTAATTGCGATGTCTGATGAAACAAAGGCCATAGATTTTGCAAGTGTGGCCAAAGATAACGTATCCATTACAATTCTATTCGCAACATGGTTAAGATTAGCTCCATGTGACTGTGCCGTATACTTCAGAGCCAGTTTTATGACTCGTTCACATGCCAATGATTTTGATGTTGCACTTTTAGCCTCTTTGCCAGCCTGTTGAGCAGCAGTCTTAGCTAAGTTCATCATCAAGTCCTGGTGATTAGACATTCCATTTTTCGCGTATCGTACAGACATTTGCACTTCAATAGATGCTGTTAAAGCACGTCTTAATGCTACTACACTAGCTGCCGTCAGATACGCTACATCACCAGCATACATTATAGCTTTCTTTGCCTTAACTTCTAACCTTTCCAATTTTTGCTTGGCTCGTTTTTCATTTCCAGAATCTTCTTCGAATTCAGCTTGCTCAATTTCTATGTCAGCAGCAATATCTGCGTTCAAAGATGGCTTATAAATATTTTCTTTGGGTTCAATCCAGTCATCTATAAGACCAGGTGCATTTAACTCTTGAGTATCTAATGTTGGCATGTCTGGTTTGACGTAATGAGTCGAGTTTATCGATTTCTCTAACATGATTTGATCTGTTTCATTATTGTCAGAGTTACCGTTTTCCGTGTCTAAAACTGTTTGATTCAAAAATCCTTTAATTGAACCTTGTAAATTCTGTTTTCCATTGAGAAAGTGTACAGATTTCTTTTCGTTTCTAGAAATAACTGAAAACGGAGTAATAAGATTGTTCTTTTTTGATTGTAAAGAACTATTAGCAAAATTAAAGGGATTGGATAGAGATTTGTTTAGTATGATATTATAAACAGTTGTATCTGAGAGTTCAGGTGCATGTGTAATGTGATCACTATTTGATAATGAGGCAATTGATCTTTTTTTTCGTAAAGATAAGTCAACCGATTGTTTTTTGGAAAGCGCTGACGAGTAGGTAGTGTCTTTTAAAGCTGACACAATTGAAACCTCTGCTGCTATTTGCGCTAACCCATACACCAGACGATGAAGCTCAGGTTCAGTAGAAGCTCGAGTTATGCTAAGTATATGACCTGACAATGTTCTTGATATATAATCCAGAATGCGCCTCGTCTCTATGGCTGTTATGCCTTTATTTCTTCCAGGCGCTTCTAATGCCTCTTTTGTTATTCGTGTAATTTTATCTTGAATTTCTAATTTAGATAAAATTGCTGACACCATGTCTTTCGAAATTTGGTAAAGATTTTCATCCATTTCCGGATTTTGTGTTACATTTTTAGTTGCTCTCAGTATCGAATTATCTAAATGTTTCAAAGCATTATGGGGTGAAGCCATTATTAACCTTTCTCCATATTTTGAGTTTATTAGCTTCTCTTTCATATCGTGTACTGGGGATATTCCAGTGTCAAATCCAGGAACCTGTAAAAGTGTTGTTTTATAAGTAAATAAAACTAAATATTGTTCGCGTTGTGTAACAACATCACTACGAAACATCTCCAGTAATGACTTAATCGCAGTTATTAATTTGAATATATATTTTAAAGAACAATACTCGTAACTGACATCAATGTAGCAGGTACATAAAATTTGATAAAAGCAAATGAAAGTCATCTGTTTTATTTACAATATATTTACAAATACAATTATTACCTTTCGAATATTTCAAGACATTGATACAATACACAACATTTTCTAATATACCTACTAGTAGTTTCTGCTATGTTGTTGATGCCCTTGAAACCCCCAAAATATTTAGGTAGCTAACCCCCAAACCACTATCAGTCAAAGATGTACACCTAAATAAAGTTTGTTAAGAAGCACCGGAATAAACTATATATCGGAATTTCTATTATTTAATCAGGGAACAAATCTAACCAAGGAAGGGCAGTTGGTTTTAGTTCCGCGAAAAGTAAGCTTTCATTGACAAGACAGGCTAAGTACTATTGCAAATTCTCTCATTTTATTTAATTAAAATTGTATTTAAACTAAGAAATTTTTAGAAAAAAATGTACAGCACTAGTAAAACACACTAACACAATAACCGTTTTAGTTCAACAACTTAAAAATAATTTAATAACTATAGTATATTAACAGTAATCAGGTTAAAGTACGTCTCTCATGCATCTAACTTTTAATGTTTTTATAATTTATTACTATATAATTAAAATTTACTTACTAAAAGTAATATAATTATTGAAAACACACGATACAAAATCATTCTTTCTGATTTTGCAACCGCTCTAGTGAAAAACTCTGTTACAATAATTTTCATCGTTTAGTGTTAGCCTTTATCGCAATTAGTTCAGGCAATTGTTTTAATGGTCAATTAAGCAATGGAGTAAAACTTAATGGTTTCACAACACACCAGTAGTCCTGGATAACGTAATAGGTTTATAAAAAAAATGTTTTCCGTGTCGATTTCTTTCGAAAGCTCCGACCTAAATTGGTAGATGTAGTAGAGCGTTCTACTATATACGGTAAGCCAAAATGTCGAAATCTAATCTATTCAAGAAATATTGTTAAGCCACTTAACTTTTTTTACCGTCCGTCCCCGTTTATCTAAACTGTTGTAAAACAATTTTTGTCACATTGTATTTTTGTATTATAATTTTCGCGATTATTGCTTGAGCTGAGTTGAAATGACTTACAATTTCCTTTATTTGAAACGCATATTAATTAGAGAACAATAATATTTAAGTAGATAGTCAGTTATAAGTTGAATTGAATATTTATGTACCGCTTACCTTAAAAAGTTACCCAGCAAATGAATTAAACATAGTAATTCTTCTTTTACTGTGTTGAATTCTTCTGTACACAAATAACGGACGGTACACTAAGTTACTGCTTTCTGCTGTTTCAAATATGTCTTTGTTGCTAGTATTAACAATAAAACTTTCGTGGGCAGCTTCTCTTTTATAAATATATTCATTGTCTTGTTCCATATCAGTAGCATTATTTTCTAACATAGTTATACGGTCAAAGTCACTGTTTACAGTACTCTCATCGTTACTTTTTATGTATAAAGATGTCACCCCGTTAAGCATTGCTATTACTGAAACTAAAGCGAATAACATGACGCATGTTAAAAATAAACCATTTCTAACACATTTTTTATGTTTTATAGTACCCTGTTCTAATTATAAACTTCATGTTAATCTTATTAATTGCGTTAGCATTATTTGTAACAATTAACAACTTATTGCCGATTCAGAGATCAGTGACTAACAACAGAAGGGCTTCGTGAAAGAAACAGAACAAATATAATTAATTTTCTTTATTCCTATATATTAATCTACAGACATATCCTAAAGCTTATCCGATGCATTAAAGAACATGTACATGACTTAGACTATATTATGTTATGTATATACGTAACAAAAATCCGATGAGAGAGGGTGGAGATATCGTAGTCGTCTTAATTTAACCAAGGAAGGCAGGTAGTACCCTGATGCGGCCACGTCCTAAAACCTGGGAGGTTTCGCCAAAGGGAGACGCATCTACATCATTGCTGGAAGGAAGCAGGTCACTTTCTTCACCACCGACGTAACGACGAACCCTTGGATGATCAGCAGCACCAACAACCTTTCCCGAAGCACCAGATTCCACACCGTCTTTTGCGGTAGCTAAGAGTATTGGCGCGGCTTTTGATGGGATGTGTTCGATCACATCCTGGTCGGCGGGTGAGCACACGCAGACTGCTAACAGCGCTAACGACGCGACGATTAAAAGTGTGGAATGCATTTCCAAAAGATCCTATCTTGCTTTGATTTTCACTTGATGAAACTGTGCTCTGGTAGGATCAGCCGGGCCTTTTATGAGAGGCTTTTGATGACATAAATTATTACACTTTATTGTAACAGCACACTCAGATAATGCGCATTATTATTTTTAGAACAACGCTGACGCACATACGGTTGTAAGTGATCCCCTCATTATGAACCTTGGCTTTGGAGAACTTGCTAACGAGATACCAAACACCCCTGATAACAGATAAAAGTAAAGAGTAACACAATGAATTAACACCTGATCAGGTGATAAAGCTTTGTTTGTAGTATTGTTTTATATAAGTCTTTTATGGAAAAAGACATCGCTGGTCCGACCCCGTATTTAGGCAACGTGCATTTTAATTTGAAAAAAAAAACAATCAAATTTACCGGCCTATATTTTATTTAGTTCCACAATGAGTACAGTGTAAACACTGCTAAAACATTTATTAACTTAACAACAATACATATAACAATAGCGTAAAAACACTGCTTCAAACTTGATCATCAAGCTTCACTATAAGATTTACTGTATTACATCAAATATATTCCCATAAAGATTCAACTTCATATTAAAATGGAATTTATAATTTTATTTTATAATTAAAAACTTTAACTTGTAACCTACTCGTTTAGGGCCTAGAGAAGTAACAAGTAGAATATTGACATAAAATTTCATCAGACAGTCCAAACTGGTGCTGACTGAAGACACAACACGACTCACGTGCAGATTGATCAGTCTTAGCAGACTAGAAATCCGAATAGTTGTAGGAACCATAACAGAACACCTATCCCTGAACCGACAACTATTTACCATTAATGCGACGGACAGTCTTCTTTGTGGAGGATGTCCGAAAGCAGAAGAAACGGCAGCCTTCGTAATCCTGGAATGCGAGAGAGTGGCTACACAAGGGGCAAGTATCATTCCTGATACAAAATCGCTTCTAGAAGACTGTGAACGCCCCAGGAGGCTTCTGCGCTTCCGAAAGGAGCTTGGTTGGCCCACACAGGCCAACCTGTCCTCGACGCATGAAGAACCACTCTTGAGTCTAAATGCGAAAACCGGAACCCACTACAGATACCAATACCCACCCTCGCAATAGACTCACATGTGTCGGAATACCGCATAGTTTTAGTCGTTTCGATTCCAACAAGTGACATTACTCTGAGCACGGGTAAATGATGATTAAGATCAGGGGCGTAGCGTGGACTAATATACACGTGGGCGAAGTCGCATCAGCGAGGCCCCTTTTCTTTCGTTCCCTCTTTCCTCGGACGTTGTACTTACAGGTACGTCAGATACGTCTCAACGTTCACCGTTGCTCCACTTTTTTTTTTGTGCCGAAATTCCCTCGGGTACCACCCACCAGTGAGGTGGTTATGGTGTTCTCGAACAGATCAATCCGTCTCGGGTACCAGTTGCCGGGGAACCAGGTGTACCCTTTTTTTTTCCGTGCGGAAATCCCCTCGGATACCAGAGGACATGTCGGACTCGAACCGACTAAATCCGCACGCCGTCTCGGGTACTAATAGCCGGGGAACCAGGTATACCCTAGAAAGGAAGTCCCTGGTGCGACCAGGTATACCCTAGGAAGAAAATCCCTGATACCAACCCACCGTTGCTCTTCTACCTGCTTGACATCTTAGTAGCTTATTTTTAAGACAGATCCATATGATATATGGATCGAGACAGCGAAGAATGTTGAAGGTAGGTTACAAGTAGGGTTCCCCAAGCGTCGGTCCTAGGACCTCTTCTGTGGAACCTCGCGCATAATGCAGACAAGAGAACTAGTCTTCCCCTAGAAGTAAGTGTCGTCTGTTACTCCGAGGAGAACTCGGAGCTGGTCGAGTTAGGGTCATATATCTGTGCCTGTGTCATATATCTCACACAAGGCTGTCTGATCCCAAACAAACAGACTGCTGATAAACAGACTAATATAATTTTAAATACATACATATTATAGATAAATTACACCCAGACACAGAACAAATGACCTTGCTCATCACACAATATTTGTCCTGGGTAGGAATCAAACTCACGACCAAATTTACTGTAAGCTCCTATTGTTCCTTATGAAAAATTAAAGCTATCACATTAAAAAGTAAACTATATCTCTTAGTATTCATTACTCAAGTTATGTGTCATCAACAGCCTTAATTTGTCCACTGCTGGACAGAGGGCTCTCCTTAGAAAGGAGGTTTCGGCCTACTATTACCACGCTGGAAAGTCGGGTTAGTATAGGGTTGATTTCAAGATTCCTTCTCTTTGCAGTACTGTTGTCCTGCGTAGTTTGTTCCCTTGGTCGGCTTTTAAGACACCCACGAGTAGAATAGAGGTGGTGACACTTCGTATTCTTAATCCGTCACCACACGGATAGTTACGTTTACATGATTACGTCAAACTCGAAACCAAATCAAATTACTGAGATCGTTAACAATACAACAGTGCGAAGCTGAGCAATTCATCAGTCTATTATTTTTTTCTTTCGGTGGATCATCAATGATTTCTTGTCTGATTGTTTTATAGTTAGTGCTTAAGCTAAGCCGTTAAAACATAAATATACACAGTATGCGTAAAACGAAAAATATTGTGGAGCTGAAGTGCATTTTTAAGTCCGTAAACTGTGTTACGCCATGTTAAGTATTAACAGAAACATGGGTAAAAACGAATCTCATGAAAAAAAGGCGTTTAACATATCCGGCTATACTACTATTATCTATTCTATGGCTATAAACGGGAGTGACGTGACGGATAAAGCATGTGGCACCTTGAAAGGACAGTTAACGTTGAGGACAAAAGAACACCTCATGTGACAACAGTACATAGGTACGGGTTGTGGATGTTGGGTTTAATCTCGTTGTAAAGCTCTCTTTGTAATAAGATAGCTATTTTTGATCAAGTCACCTTTGAACCATTCCTTATATTAGTTTTACGGTATATCAGATATACATATAAATACTTAATGTTATCAAAATAAATAACGAATGCCATGAATATAGTGACTTTAATTGATATAATTCTGCAAACGAACACCACACAGATAACATTAACATTTACACAATTACACATTTTTTTTTTTTTAATTTTTTTATATTACAATTGTCGCCAGCGCTCAGGGACTGAAGTAGTGTCTGTAGGTTAATTAGAGTATAAGAATTACATATTGTAATTAGAACCTTAAGATACCATGTACTCTACAGACACTACGGGATAATAAACTGCCACTTGAACTTAACATCTTTGTATTTAATAGCTGCCCCCCATCCTAGTTTAAAAGTCTAGCGCTGACCGAGTTGTCCGAGGCATTTATTGTATTTGTTGTTGGTTGTCTGTGTTCATTTAAGGTGGAGCACCTGGCGCCCGAGTTTGTTAGTTTGTTAGTATTTGTGGTGCCCCCAGTTAGTTTGTTTGTTTGTTTAGAACACAGATAACATTAACATTTACACAAGAACATTACTTAAAATAATTTTTTTTTTAATTTTTTACAATTGGCCCTGGTGAGTAAACTATTGTATCTTGCCAGATTTAGGATTCATCTTTTGAGATAGGCAAAAAACCTATACTTTTCATTGTTGCAGATGAATCAGGGTTCTAGTTATACCTTAAATTTTTAGTTTATATCTAATTCTTTAATTTATATTTAAATTTTCAATTTATACCTTAATTTTTAATTTACACCTAAATTTCTAGTTATACCTTAATTTTTTAGTTTATGTCTAAATTTCTAGTTACCCCTTAGTTTTCAATTTATACCTTATTTTCTTATTGGATTGTAATGTCATTGCGTTACATTTGGACTTTGCCTCCCTGCCGGCCTGACCCAAAGATTTAGTTTGCTGTGGAGCACCTATAATGGTAGAAAAAGCTGTTTAGCTGCAGTCCATTATCAGGAACCACTTCCATCACGAACGGACTGAGGTCCATTTAATACATTTCAATTAAACTCACGAAGACACAGGTTTCCAGGTTCACATACTAAATTATACCGTTTGTCGTAACAATTTCCAGTTTCGCAGTCAGTTAAAAATATTAAGATTATTAAAGCCAAGATTATTATAATTTTATAAAATTCAAGACTTTGAAGAAGCTTGGTGTGCTGCAAGTTTGGTCGCAAATTTCTCATATCTGGGCATTGACATACCAGTACCAGCTTCTCCGTCGGAAGCACACCCAACGGATAGCAACTCCAAACGCCGATTTCCAGAATATTTACGATCGGCTTAACTCTCTAGTGTTGCCTAGAAATGTATCTTCACTTTCATTCTCTCTCGCTTGTATTATGAAAAGTAATCTGATAAATTGTTCGGACTTATAGCGGTCACAGCTTGCCCTATCGTTCAAAAGGACAAAACAACCATCCCCATTACTTGAATAATACAATTGACTTTCCACCACTGTGCACTTTTCAAGAAACTATTAACAAGAGACCTCTGGAACATTATTTGTCACATGCAGTATTTCCGGATCGATGTTCCCTCCAAACCTAATAAGAGCGTACTTTCACCTGAAGGGGCGCAAATAACCATTTGCACAAGATAATCTAAAATAAACATTAAGCAACCCTTAATGTTTATTTTAGATTATCTTGTGCTCTCTTCTCATTTATTATTAATCACAAATGTGTCTCAAAGGAAGATTGAGATCTCTATTTGTTTGCAACAACACAGGCAGCATTTGTGGCACACATCTAAAAATAACCCAACCCCCATCAATCACGTCTGACCTCCAACAAGATGCTTCAGATTTTCTCGAGATTTTTAACTACTACTTTGATGACTTTTGATTATTTCTATAATCCTATCCTTTCACATCATCAATAAATTTCTCGTACACGTTATCAGTAGTACAGTGGACATCCGAGGACTATAGGCTTTTAGCTTTTTCTTGAAACCAGGCTCGTAATTAAGGGGCTTAAAGACTTAAAAAAAAAATCCCGCGTTTTAGCTTTCACTGTGAAATTTATTTTCTTTAAGAGTAATTTAAAACTAGTCAAACATTATTTTAAGTGTTATTCGTTTAAAGATTGTTTAATTGATTTATATTTGTTCTCTTTAAGATTATTTAAAAAGTTACTTTAAGTTATAACAATAATACTGCAAAGACTAGACAGTTATCTAATAATATAAAGATAATCTATATCTGACAGCATTGATAAAGTATGACCTCATTATCTGCTAAAAAATTAAAATCTTTGATTTAACTTAAACTGTGAGTTTTAGTGTAACTAATCCTTTTCTAATAACGTTTTATTATTCAGATAAACGAGATTGAATCTTACGTAAGAAGAGGGAAGGGGGTTTCGAGAAATCTTATGTATCCTTACATGGGAGTAAGGGAGGTTAAAAATCGTCAAAATCATCCTTACTAATAAAGTAATTAATGAATGGCCCCTTAGCAGTCAGGGTCACTAATCACTAGACCAGCCTTTCCCAAAGTGGGCGATAACGCTTTCTTGTGGGCGCTGCAGGCCTAAAGGGGGATAAGAGACCCAGAAAAACAATGAGGGCCTTGTGTAGTGGTTGGGGGGGGGGGGGGGGGGGCATTTGTAAGTTGATCTAGCTAGGACGACTCTTAGGCCCGTATTTTAAAAGACGTCTCAAGTGTCGGTTGAACTCTGATTGCCTGAAACTAGTTTTAAGTGCAGATCAAATCTTAAGTATCGATCTTATTATAGAACGCGTTTTAAGTTTTACTCAGTTGAAACTAGTTTCAAGTATTGATTTGAACTTACAGTCTGTTCTCAATTACGTTTTCGCATGTTTGACATTATTATTCCGCATTACGCAGCTAATTATTTAAAAAATACTTTTCTTTTACAAACATAATTTCTCTGAATTTGTATATAGTATACTATAGGCTAGTGTAGCAATGTTAACATATTAACAAGCTTGTTGTTCGTTCAAAATTAAATATAATAAATATTAAAATAAAAATGACTAGCTGTATGAATAGGCTATAACGGAACTTTCAAGTTATTTATCAACACTTGTCATGTTAAATGTCAAATGATGTTTTTATTTGATATTTCTGAAATTTATATTACCATACTTTTATAACATAAACCAAAAGGTTGTGGTAATTTAAACTAGTACTGTGTGTAAAATGTGAATTTTGGTGAATTTCATATCAATAAAGGTAAATTAAAGTGATATTGATTATAGTATGACAAGTAATTCTTTCGTAAATGAAGTAAAGTAAATCTTTCGTAATTATTCAAAACCAAATAATCGTAAAACACATTAATTTTCCCTAAATGCCCTAGAAATCACCGCTTGAGACTAGTTTCAGCTTGTCTCACGTAAACAAAGATCACAGCTGTCAAAATCTATACCTGAGTAATGATTTCGACATAAACATCGTTCTGAAATAAGCTATCACTCACTTGAGTATGGATCGGTGAATCTCGTTTTAAGTGACGTCCAATAATAAAAGCTCCACTTAAAATTAGTTTTAAGACTAGATTCACGACTGAGACACCTTTTAAAATACGGGCCTTAGACACCGACTGAGCTCTCGACTCTCGACTACAACTTGTGAACATCAACTAATATCAATTAAGAGATTTCTCAAACTCTCTCTCCGCGTAGTTCATATATCTGTCCTGTTTTATTGAATAAATAAAATAAAAATAATATCAAACGGTCGCTCCGTTTCGAAATGAAAGTAGGCTCAAACAAACAAATGAAAAGGCATCAGACACACTTTCGCATTTTAATAGTTATTAGGATTCCTAGATAGGTGATTTTCGTAGAAAATAGACCGCGGGCAAACATGTTTTAACAAGTTTTTGTTAAATAACCCGATTTGTACATTCCAAGCAATGCCAGACTGGGTGTTGGATCCGTTTTCAAATGTCAACACAGCAATGCCACCTCAGCTAGAAGAAGAACTTTAAGAATAAACGAGGAAATAAAAATCAAGTTCAAAAATGGGTACCAAGAATTTTGGCTACAAAAACCGAACCCGCAATTGTACTCTGGATTGTGGTCAATCGTTCTACGATTCTTGATAGCATTCCCGTCGTCATATTTGTGTGAAATGTGGGTTTAGTGCTGTGGCAACGCTGCTTACTGAAAAGACAAATCGTTTGCATGTTACCGAACGTGGCGACTTGCGGCTATTCTTGAGTAAATTGGAACCTGAAATCAACAAACTTATTAAACAGCATCAGATTTATCATTCACATTATTTATTTATTTACGTATGGAACGATGGCGGAAAGTTGCAGCCGATATTAGTCAGAAAAATTCCCCGGAGCACTCTCTTATAGTTTTCAGGTTCTAAATCAGTTTTGCAACTCACGCTAGCTCTGCATGCGATGCATATTTTTTCTAAATTTACAGATAATCGGTAAGTAACTACAATTCCTATAATTCTGATCTCACTACTTGAGTCAGTAATATTTACGTGCGACCAATGGCAATAAACACAAATACGTTGCGTAATGTTTCTCAATGCGTTCTGGGCCACTGAAGGCCTTATTCAAAAAGTAAACGGAAGGATATGTTTGTCACGTTATATATTATTTTTTTAACAAATAAAATAATCAAACATGTTACACTAAGGCATACTCACCAATTTTCAACAGAATGCATAACAATACGCATTCATGGTCATTATGTTATTGAGAATATTTACCAACCCTGTTAACACAAGTAATACAAGTGTACAAGCGCGTCAATGATTCCAATTCTGGATAAAATTACTTAGCACATTTAAAGTATAAAAACAACGTGCTCTGCCAAACGACATCATTAACCGTCAGTGAAGGAACTCGGCATACAGATTTTACTACCTGGGTGTATATCCCAAATTTAACGCGGAGAAGTTACCTATAGCCTTCAAGACCATGGCTTCCAAATTGATTGTCCTTCTCTCGCTTGCAGTTTTGGGTTGCGTATTCGCAGCTCCTGCTTCTACAACAGAAAAAGAAGAAAAAACAACAACAGCAACAGAAGATGATTTGCTCGTCATCGATGAAATAGTGGTCAAGGAAGTTCCCATTGTGGTAGCACTCATTGATCCTACCATACCATCTGAACCCGAAACCAAAGAGACAACTAGCCAGCCGGAGCACAAAGTAGTAAAGAGGTCAGCCCTGCGAGGTGATAACCCTAGCAACGACTTGCTCGCTAATTTGGATGGGCTACAATTTGACAATGGATTATCAGAGTTTGGTGGACGCAGGATCAAGTTTTTACCAACCTGGGCGGGTTAAGCTTTATACCTAGTAAAAAACTACTTCTACCTATGTCATTTTACATATCATTTATTTTGTAAAAAATATTTGTGCAAATGTTGTGATGAAATGAAAATGATTCCGTGTATTATGTATAAAAATGTAATAATTCCGTGTATTATGTATAAATGAGTAAATAAAATTATTTTATATGAAACTTAGTAGTTTGTATTTATAATGTTGGGTATGTGTTTTTAACTTCGTCAGGTATTTAAACAATTACATCTTTTTAACACGATTTTATTAGCTTGCAATGTATCCATGTAACGAAATTTTTTAACGTGATTATCATTCACCCACTGTAACGTCGTCGATTGAAACTTCGCACACTTATCAAGGAGCGATGACTATACAATAATTTAATAAATTTATCCAACTATCCTGATCAGGATCTTTAAGATTAACGACTTTTCCATATCTAAAATTACGGTCGTACTAAGGCGTGTACTGTTAGAGGTGTCTCGAGGCATTATTCCTCAAGTAACTTTGTCAAACTTGATAAGGTTCTTTAATGTATGAAAGAAGTTTTAAGTTCTAGGAGCAGACTAAAGCTATCCTTATTTAGAAGACCACCAAACTGCAATCTACATTTGTACACATTAATGAAAAAGCTTCTGAAACGATCTGGATTAAGAAAAAGAATGTAGACTATGCAAACTGTTCCTATTGTGAAATCAATACTCCAATATAGGTACATATTGTAACTCATGATCCTATTAAAAACTTGACCAACACAAGACACTAAAAACCTTGGCTATCCTCCATATCATGCTTATGTAGAGGACATTGGACAACCCCCTACATCGCCTAGTCGACATATATAAGATCTATTAACTATACTAAGGACTCCATAACCAGAACTCGTAAAACTACAGCTATTCCCATAGCATTATTAATAATAATTAATTACGATTTCGGTGGCTATACCACTTCTAGGAGAGGCATTTACTAACAAACCGTGCGTTGTTGAGATTTGTACTTGGAACAATAACTAAGAAAAGGTTTTTATTTAATACGATATATTAATATTCATAGTTAATTAAACTATTCATAACTACATAGTGACTTAGTGATTTTATACGAGTAAAATAGTTTTTTTTTTACCCAAAATGTATGGCTTGCATGAAAAAATGTTTAGAATAAAATTTCTAGAAAAGTTTATGCTTTACAATTTTCTAATTGATGTGAAATCTAGAGCCATATCAAGCATTTAATAGTACTAGTGATCGCTTGATGGACGAATTTCAATTGTTTTGATTATTATTATTTATTTTGTTTTATTTGCCTTGTATTATTATTATTGTGTTAATTATTATATTTCAAATACCTACCATGTAATTTGTTGATGAACAAATCATCATCATCATCATGATTATGTCGTGTGCTGTCATTATACTATCCAATAATAAACCCCTATTATTGGGTGTAGCATTTTTATACAGGTATTTATTATTTCTTTACAGCAGTTTTTTTTTTTAATTTTAACTCTGCACTTTCTCATAAAAAATTGAGTATTTGAAATATGATATGCTTTCGTGCAATTCTTGCATATTAATATGTAGATTATTTAAAGTTTGCAATGGAAGTTGGTGCTAGGTATAGTTATGCCAATAGGATACATAAGCATACTAACTCAAACCTCGAAACTACTTCTAAATTTGGTGAAAAAAACTAATCGCATATAGTACAGAACTCTTTACACGTGTTTATTATAGAACTAAAAGATAAATATTAAACTACTCATATAATGTATTGTTTTGTTTTGTTGGTTTTTTTAAAAGACAATCCCGCATTAGGAATATATCCTGTGTCGCGGGGGACTTTACGAACATCATGTATGTTCAAACGGTCACAAAAAACATCTAGACTCAGAACAACAATTTGTGGATCACAACAAAGTGTCGTCCCATGTGGGGTTTGAACCCACAACACTCGGCGTAGTAGGAAGCGGCGTGGCGCTTAAACCACTACGCCATCCGTGCAGTGAATTGTTAGGTATATTATATAAATATATGTTGTAATAATGACCTCGACGGTCACACAAGTTTGGGAACCTGGGAATTGTTAGTTTCTTTATGATATGGTGAATCAAACACTACAAGTAAAATTGATCTGTATATTGTTTGATTATTAATAAAACACATCCTTCAAGTTATGGTAATATTTAATTTAATATTTTTATTAGTGTTAGTCAATACACTTCTTCTGTTCTCAGAATGCCTTCCATCGTATCTCTTAAGTCCTGCTTTTTTCTTTATCAGCGTCAAATATGTCATTAGATGTCGTAGATGGAAGATGAGTCAGCCATTTCAATAATGGATTTCCAATGTCCTGGATTGTAATCAATGTAATCGTTGTCTAAATACGTCTCTGCAACATTTTTTAATATTTCAGGACGTAAATACAATCCTTCCAAGCGACCATATGATAGTGTAAAAAATAGTGTAAATATAAAAAATAGCACAATAGTTGCCATTACCAAGTTCTACAACACAATGATGTGAAATAATAGCGAGGCTTTTATAAATCGTTTGAAATAAATACAATAATGTGTTAATATTGAGTAAGATCGTGAACAAACCACAAGGTATAATGTGAATGTCAAATATTTGATCATTCTATTGTGGATGGTTCGTAAATTATATATTATTCATACCATAAATGTACATTATATGAATATCATAGAATTACCATACTAAATTTAGCATAACAAAGTGCATGATAATTGACAATCCATATTTCAGTGAGTGAAGAAAAAGCAGTTCATATTTGGAATACTTGATGGTTATATTACGTAGAAGAACATAAAACTAAAAATGTTTAATAAAATGCGCTATAATGGTAAAAATTATGTACAAATGGCAACATAAAAATATAGGGTGCAATACATATTTTGACCTGAGATGGTACAATAGTAGTTCAAGTTGTACTGGTTAACCCGGCGCCGTCCAGGTGGAAAATTGTTACACTAACATCAACGTTCGCCGTCGCTTCCTTCTGCGAACAGATGATCTCCTCGATAGAGAGAGAACGCAGCACCGCTCTCTCTACCCGCAGAAAGCGCACCGGGCGCCGGGGAGCATTCGTCGATCTCCGCTCACCTTAGGAAGTGGCCTGCGGGCGACGGTCTTGGGGAATTCGTCGCTCGAACAGATACAGGCCTGAGAGGCAGCGTATAGTGTTCCGTGTGCGCTTCTAGAGGACTGCGACCGGATGGTAACGGCCGCAATGGGTGACGAGACTCGTCTTAGGTGAGACGAGTCAATGCCTGTCGGGGGTGGTGGAAGAATGCAATTGCAATTCTCGGTCCCCCCGGCCATAGGGAGGAGCACCGGGGTGGTTTTTAGTCAATAAGTGTTGCCACCCCGCAAAGGGTGAAGTACATCCATGAGGATCTTCCATCCCACACTTCCACTTCAAAAAAAAAAATCCACGTTGGGTCAAAATTAACTATATTTAGCAATTGTTTTTTTTTGGCAACTCTCACACAAATCTGCATGTACATTGGGGTTTTAGGGAAGAGACACTTTTATTTGCAAATATCTGAATAACATTTTTTGCTTGTATTTTAATGAAACAAAACAGCACATTCAAAACGGCACTGAACTATTTTTTTAAATCATCTATTGCTAATGAATGTGTTAGAATCATACAAACTTGAAACAAACCCTATACCAACCCGTCTGGCCAGCGTCATATAGTAGGCCAAAACCTCCTTTTTGAGGAGAGGCCTATTTCCAGCAATGGACTATTAAAGGCTGTTGATGTGTGAAGTGCGGGAACACAACACATTCATACGGATTAAAATCTTAACCCTCATTTTTCTTCGCTGAAGTCGCATTACAGACATGAGTAAAGTCGATGAAGATCCTTGTCAGTTTGTTGACCAGCGATGTTGATTTGTTGTCAACGCAGCCCACTAGGTTCGACGTCCACTTGTGGTCTGATTTTTTTACGTGTGGAAACCCCCTCGGGCCGTCACCCCACCTGGGGTATGCGGCGGGGAGGTGTATCGGAATCGGAATGACTAAAACCACACGGTGTGCCACTCTGCGCCTGTAATAGGAGGGATCCGGGTACAGCTGTTATTAAGACATCCGGACCAAATGCGCGCTCTAGCTTAGCCTTAATAAATGCCTCGGTGGCGCAGTGGTAGCGTATGCGACTGCTGTGCTTAGGTCTCGGTTTCGATTTCCGGGTCGGACCAAATGTTTGTATGATCTGCAAATATTTGTTTTGGAGTTTGGGTGTTTTCTATGTTTAATATGTATTTAAAAAAAAATTGTACTAGTATTCTACCAGTCAATTTAGCTTTCATGGTATAAGCTCTGCTTAGTTTGCAACTAGATGGTGTTGAGTCAGATGTCCAAAAAAAAATTATTATTAGCTTCATACTGATAGCCAAAACGATTTAACTGTGTACATACATACGATCACGTCTTTTATCTCCGAAGTGCCATACAGAGGCGTGTTAAACGCCCATATTTGCCCTATAATTGCCGTACGTTATTGGGGCAATTACGTAACGTACAATTACGTAATTGGAGCTAAGCCGTCTACCGGAGACATGTATTTCTAAATAAACATTCTTTGACATTACCAAATCTATACATATTATAGAAAAATTACTCCCAGATACAGAACAAATGATCGTGCTCATGACACAATATTTTCCCTTGGTCGGAATCGAACCAATGACCTCTAGCTTAGCAGTCATGGTGGCTAACCACAAGACCAACAGGCTTGTCTTTAAAACGTCTATTAAACTATTAAAAAGCGATTAAAAATCACCAGTGCGCGGTGACCCTAAAACTGTCGCCTGATACTTTAGTACGACTCTATTAAAAGCTTAAAAAAATAATTTGTCGTAGTTATGACATACGTGTGACAGGACAAACATTTTACGGCAATGGATTATGATTATGCCGGATAATAACAATATTCAGACATACGAAGTAAACGAGCACAAGAACTATTTTAAAAGTCTTCACCGTAGGTCATAACTGTTAAAAATCAGTGACTATATTTTAAGGAAATGAAATTACTTTTAATTTATACTGTATATGTCGCAATCGTTAAGGGAAACAAACTGGAACCGTATCAGACCATGAAATGTCAGCCAAGAATACGACACATACCTGCAATACAAACGGTGATTTTGGACTTCGATGAAAATTTCAATGCATCGTTAAAAACATGTATGATTAAATACGCAAACTCCATTAATTCTGTAGTACTAATTAACAATAACTACACAAGTCCTTACGCTACGCTAGAAAGATGTAAAACCGATGACCATCCGACCATAGTAATATTAACTAAACAAATAACTACAGCGTTGCTTGATACACCTTCAGTCAGGGGAATCCTCAGATCTCAACGTTCTGTACTAACTATTGCTGTAACAGACGAAAAAAAGTTTACGTGTAGAAATGATTCAATGACTACAAGTGACTTTCTTTACTTGGAAGCCTTCATGAACGAACTTTGGCATAAATATAAAATCGCTCATGTAAGCATCAGTTTCCCTTTGAGTTGCTACGGTAAACTTGCAGTCTATGGTAATAAAAGAAATACAAATGAGGGAGTATACGACAGAACAATAATGTTAATCAGGACTGACGATGATGAAAAATTACAGGAGATTTTTGGGCAAAAAAGAATCATGTTAACTGAAGGTTATCCACTAAAAGCTAATATTTTTGAAAGAATTCCAACGTCCACACGACTTTACTGTGATAAACTACATTATTATAATAATAAAATTAACCTGAGTATTACTGACGGTTACTGCGGTTTAGACGCTTTCGTAATGCATACTATAGTGGAACATTTCAAATTTAAATTGGAATTGGTAAGGGATAAAAATTGTGACGGATACGGCTACAATTTAGGTACAAATTTAAGTGGCAGTCTTGGTTGTATCAGCCGAAAGGAATTGGATATATCGTTTAATTCTCGCTTTATGACAATGTATTCCTCAGACGAAGTATACTTCTTACATTACGTTACCGTCGATTCGCTTTGCGTCATGGTTAGACAAGCTGATGTTATACCAATATGGTTTTACGGAGTAATCATTTATACTCCTAAGTTGTGGCTCATTATACTGTCCCTACACGTTTTTGTTGGATTTTTCTGGTGGATAACATCAACAATGAATACGAACCAAAACCGTAATCGAAGAAAGCCTTTTTTGTTATTCGTTAAGGATGCCTTCACTACTATAATGTTTGGATTTACAAAAAATTATAGCGAATCACGCCTAGTAAAGGGCATTTGTTTATTTTCCTCCATCATGTTTTTAGCTTTGTATCAGGTGAGTTTTTGTAATTTTCATTTTATAACAATTCTCTTCTGTCGAATCACAGGCTATTTTCACATCAACTCAGTCTCCTAATTAGCTCACAAAAATGTTGAAATGGCTGACAGACTGCAGGGCAGTTACTGAGTAGTTCAACTGATCTTATATTACATAAAGAGATGGATGACATCACATTCATACTTATAAAAGCCATACTATGAAATATTGGTTACAGTAAAGGCATTACGCCTATTGGATATCGAGTATCTATATAGTATATATATCTACTAAGTTTAATCGTTGCCAGGCGAAGAGTCTTGTCAGGGTAGTCTGTCTTCGTCAGCCATCCACAGAAGTTATTTTCGAAAATCTTTTACTATGAAACCAATTGGCAACACCGGGATCGAACTCGCTAAAAGAAATAGTTTCTGCTACACTACGTTATCTGCGGCTTTGATGTCTACATTCTCTAACATTTTCATAATATTTCAGGGACATATAAATCACATATACACGACACTAGTACGATACAAGACTATCAACAAATTGGCTGAACTCTTTAAGTCTGACATTGTTTTATATGTTACACCATCGATATATGAGATCATGAAACAGATATATAATAAAGAAAATGACGATGAGCGTAATTTTATAAACAGAATGATTAAGATTCCTAAAAAAGGATTTTCATTAGGTAAGTTTCAGAGCCTACACTAGGTGAACTTAAATAAATAATCATTTCAATCGACACTTGTATCATCCAATTTAGACTATTACACTTAATTATTATAAGTAAACTATTAAATATACAGTTATACCATAGCCAATTACCAGGAATAAGCACCATTATAGTGTCCATAAATAAAATTGACAGTTACATGTTTCCATTCTTATTTGCTTATTTTTAAATACATTACATTATTTTTACAAACATGGCAAACCTATAGGCAAATTAGTTCAAGTAGTTATTCTAAACACATTTGTTGTCTAAAAACTAGACTGTAAAGGCAAGGAGAACTACCTCTGTGTGTGAAAGTTGCCGTAAAAACGCATTCAATAAGGGTAGCGCTGTGGTAGCCTAGGATAAATTTATATTGGCTTAAATAATAAATAATTAGAAACTGTGTACTGACTGCGAAAATCGTCAATGAGCTTTACAGACCATAAATATTATGTATTATACGTGTAATAAATTTCAGGCAATAAAAATATTATAAAATTTTAACTCAGCAAAGTTCCTTCCGTCTACAACAGCTATGTTCATATCGAAGTTTTTCGTACGCCAGCGAGCTCTATTTTCAGTATACAGCTGGGCACTTTTCCAACATCCCCCCTTAAGAGATGATTCTCCTTGCCTCTACACTCCATACTAAAAACAAACGTTAAAATGTCAATATGGAAGTAGTTAAGATTGTTTGTTGGGCGCCTCCAGAATTTTTTTAGGAACATATCTTTTGGAAAATAAAGATGTTGTTGACAAACAACGAATGTTACTGGTACTCGATATCGCACGATCACGATTACGAACTTAAATCAGCAACTTTCCTTCCTCCTAAAGCCGTTCAAAATGGCGTCATATAGGCGCGTCTAACTTAATTGAATTGAGTTTTAATTATTAAAGCTCAAGATTTTAACTTATAATTTGTTCAATTATACTTTATATTTCTCTAAGAACACAGTTTTCTGTTAAACTTTTAATTTCAGTAATATTTTAGTGTTTTCACTTATTTAACTAATGATATTTTTTTATTTACAGATATACTGCTCAAAAAACCTAAAAGCGCACTTGCAGGTAGACAGAAAGACATGCATATAGAGATCTTTACTAATTACATAACTGGAGAAAGCAAGCAACCGCTTATCCATATCATGAACGAATGTCTCAGGACATATTATTTATCCTACATTGGTCGTCCAGGTATAACTTACTAGCTTTTGTCCAGGGTTCCGCTTGCGTGTATGCCGGTTATCGCGGTAAAAAGTAGCCTGTTATTCGCTGATAATGAATCATTCCATTAGTGAAAGAATTTTTTAAATGGGTTTTTATATGGGTTGGAAGAAGACTCTTAAAGAGCTCTGGACAGTCCAGTGATAATAAGTACCCAGCTACTTACTTTTTCTGTTCTTTGAGTTCAATAAGTGATAACGATGAAGACAAATCACTACATATTTTAGGTTAATCTAATAGATTATTGTGGTAAATAAAATACTTAACACATGGGCTGAAAAGTCCCGGACTTAACAAAGAAAACACAGTTTTTTTGGTTCAAAATTAGTTTTAATCATTAACGTAATCTCCATCAAGAGCATCATAAGCGTAATCATTCCAGCGCCGCTCTAACATTTCAATACGACTTTTGTGGAACGATTTATCTTTTGCCTCAAAATAGGCCTCAGTTTCAGCTATAACCTCTTCAGTCGTGCGAAATTTCTTACCGGCGAGCATTTTTTTCAGGTCTGCGATCAGTCAATGGGAGCCAAATCTGGCGAATACGGTGGATGTGGGAGCAATTCGAAGTTCAAATCATGTAGTTTTGCCATTGTTTTGATTGACTTGTGACACGGTGCGTTGTCTTGATGAAACAAAATTAATTTCTTTGCCATATGCGGTCGTTTCTTTGCAATTTCGGCCTTCAAACGCTCCAATAACGCTACATAATATTCACTGTTAATGGTATTTCCTTTCTCAAAATAGTCGATGAATATTACACCACGCACATCCCAAAATACCGAGGCCATGACCTTTCCAGCCGATTGTTGTGCTTTCTTGCGCTTTGGACGAGGTTCACCAGTTGCTGTCCACTCAGATGACAATCGATTTGATTCCGGAGTGAAGTGATGGATCCATGTTTCATCCATTGTCACATATCGATGCAAAAATTCCGGTTTGTTACGTTTAAACATGGCCAAACACTGCTCAGAATCATCAACACGTTCTCGTTTTTGGTCAACAGTGAGTAAACGCGGCACCCACTTTGAACAGAGCTTTCTCATAGTCAAATGCTCATGCAATATAAAGCCAACACGTTCTTTTGATATCTTTACGATGTCAGCTAACTCACGCAACTTCACTTTTCGATCATTCAAAACGATTTTGTGGATTTTTTTATGATTTCTGGTGTTACCGCATCATTTGGACTACTACTACGTTCTGCATCATCGGTGTCTCTACGACCACGTTTGAAGTCAGCAAACCAACGTTTTATTGTTGTTTCTGATGGAGCGGAGTCCCCATAACACTTTTCAAGCCATTGCTTCGCTTGAACGGTATTTTTTCCCATCAAGAAGCAGTGTAAAATTAAAACACGAAATTGTTTTTGATCCATTGTTTTGAAAATAACACTCTCACTCTCACTCTCACTCTTAGCACAATAACTCATAAACTAATGAATAGAATATCATGAAATTCTAACAGCTGTCTTTTGAAGGTTAGTATTAACTGAAAAAAAGGTGACTGCAATAAAATTAACGCCATCTATGTGTTAGGCCCGGTACTTTTCAGCCCATGTAATAGTTTTATATTAATCATCAGTCAATTTTTATTTTTTACAGGTTTTCCGTTTGTCGAGGAGCTACAGAGGCTCATGCTACGAGTGCGAGAAGCAGGACTAGATGAAATTTACTATGAGTGGACATGCGGCATGTATCGTGTCCCGTCGAATTTGCCTGAAATTCGCAGTGAACCTCGACTTTTCCACAGCATTACTTTACAACAACTACAAGTAGCTTTTGGTTTACTTAGTCTTGGTCACATTATATCTCTATATATATTTATTATTGAAGTTTTGAAAGGAGGAGGAAACCGTTAAGGTCAAAATTGATTTGCCTATGAATTTTGAGTATCGATCCTTGCTATTGCATTATCTTCTTTCAGCTTACATCACAGATTTTTGCAAGTTTTTCTGTATCTTCCTAAGAAAAGATAATAGAAAGGAGGGCAGATGGTATTGAAGAAAACAGCAACAGAAACAAAAACCCAGCGTCTTAATCAATTTTCTTTATAATTCCGATTTTAGAATGGTCAAGTAAAAATAAAATAAAACATTGCAGTTGTCACTGGTTTCGATTTTATTATAAACTTTTTTGGAGATGATTTTTGCTATCGTATGTCTAAAAAGCTAATTACGAATAATTCGTGCAAATATTTAGATCTTACACTTGCCTGTTTTAGTTGTATTTAACAACGTGTTACAGAAAGTCTAACAAGTAAATAAACAATAAAAAAATGTTTTTTTGGCCTTTAACCTTTAAAAGATAAACTGATGAACCACGTCATGTAGGTATACTATTATTTAACAACTTTGCTTCTATATTTTTTTTAGTTATGGACAAATGTGAACTTACTATCCTTATTTACTACTCACTTATAATTTCATTTTAATGTTTCGTATTTATTTCATATACATATTTTTATTCGTGTTTTGTTTATAAAGTACTAGCTTTATCAGTAAGGTTTCAAGTCCATATTTTCTGTATCAAAATGCTCTTAATCCCTATCACAAACTTTTTGACAATCCTTACGTGTATACTTGTAATAGAAACTAAAAAAAGGCATATATATAGATTTCTGTCGCACGTTGTATATCTAATATTATGTCAGTTGTTGCACATAGGAACCGAACCGACGAAATAAAGTAGTTATTTATCATAAAACAAAATACGGCTTCCGTTTTTAATTCACACTGACCAAAATTACTACATTATCATGCAAATTATAAATTTCTTAAATAATATAAAATCCATAAACTTGTAATGTAAACCAATAATAAGATATAAAAACAGTAGTATAAAAACACTATACGTATGTAGCTAATTAAATAACACTTAGAAACAATAATAATTGCAATCACAAACTAAACTAGCTACAATATAATCTTATTTATACATCTAGATAAAGTATATTTATATTGTCTTTTGCTACAACTTCTTAAAATCAAATATTGATATTCCACATTCCTTACAACTAAAAAGGTTACTGTCCCAGTTTCGAACGAAAACGAATCTTATTAAGAAACTAGAAATGTTACAGTATGTTGAAACCTAATGTGTGTTTCGAATGTTGGAAACATATTTATTTTTATCTATACTAATTTAATATTTATAGTTGAACAACTTTTTCTTATTGACTGATATGATAAAACTGTTTCATAAGTAAATAAAAAAAAATAAGATCACTTAAAAAGTTGAATTCTTTATCTCATTGGTTGCCGACCTGTGGTCGTTAATTCATTATTAACAATAAAACACTGTAAAAGAAAAGGTAAATCTGTTGATTTTTCCATTCTGAAACTAACCTCCGACAAAGGTTTCAGCTATTAACGATTCGCCGACAAAACGATCCATTCAAAACGTATGTATAATTATTAGATTTAGCCACCAGTAGTGTCAAACATTGCCTAAATAAGCTTTGTCAGCGAATCCTTCTTTGGGGAAAGATTCTGTCATCGATTCAATCTTGAATTAATCGTTCTGTTGACGAAACATAACTAAGGTTTCACGAACTTCAGTTCCTTATGGACAAAGTATTAGGAACTAGGATGTAATTTTATGTAAAGAAGTGTGTTCTGAAGTTCGCGGGACCTTAACCCAACCACATATGGAATATATACATATATTGAAAATTAAAACATTAACTAACTCTAACATTTGTTATAAATCGTCAAAACCTTTCTCAACATACATAAAATACTCTAATAAAGGTATTTTATTTTATAACAGTCGAAATTTTACACGCTATTCTTTTAATTTTAAGGATATATTCTTGGTTTCTTATGGTATAGCTTTTTGACTTGATTTCAATATCGAATTTCGAAACACATTTTAATTTTGATTGCTACTGGAATATACCGGGTGGGTCCAAGGATATACCAGAAACTCCTATTACTTATAGGGTTCATTATTATAAAACTATTTGCAAAACAAAAACGAAAAATATTCAGTGGTTTAGAAACAAGACAACTTTTTGTTTCATTAATTTAGGTAAAATGTCAATCTAAATGTGAGGAACAAACGTTTGTCATTGCTTACATCACCGAGCCGTTGCATCAGTCCAAACAAAAGGTAACAGAAATATGCGACATAAAATATTTTGGGTGTGTTCCGAAAACGACCAAAAAGTTTTAGAACTAGCTTCTATTTATAATGTACCGGTTTGAGCAATATAGTACAGTTTCTTTCAAAAACTAAGCTTACATCTCATTATATATGAAACAGTTTTGCTAATTCATTATCACTTAACTATTATAAATATGATTCTTAATACTTATTATTATTATTTACATTAATAGGCACTAAATTAATATGCTTCCTTTAGTTACTTTCCACTCCTGCCCAACGAGACAATTACAACCGATTAAACCTGTTGTTAATGTAATCCTAATGTCCATGTGGATACGCGTGTTTTGAAATCAGTAAATTATTATGCATCCTGAGCAAAATATACGAAGTGAGCAGAATATACGAAGTGAGCAGTAAAAGGGTCAGCCAATAACAACGTAACTAAAACATTTACATCAATACGTCTATCGACCAGGTTCCACTAGTCGTGGTCACAAACTGGCTCATGAGAGGTCTTCTAACTGTTCATTGCTTTATTTAAAATTACTTACATAACTTTGATACCTTTAACTTTTACAGCTCATTTTTTTTATATCCAGTACCAAACAAAGTCATGTACATTAATGAAGTTTTTTTTAAATTTCATTTTTTTTTGTTTTTCAGTGTTTTTCAGAGTAAGAGACGAATATTGTAGGGTCTTACGTTGTACCACAGTAGCGCATCTATTGAGCATAAATGTTATTTTTTTTTTCTTTAAATTACTGAATCATATATACACTTTTCCCATTATATCATGTATGTGGACAATATAAACAAAACATATGTGGACAATATGGTACCAATGAAATAAACGATCACTTTCCTCTCATATTACTATATCACAAGAAGAGTTATACTTTAAAAATAGCACGCTTCCATATTAGACTTCACAAGTTAAACATCCTACAAATGTACCAACAACTGAACACCTTAGAGTCTTGGCAAGACCAATATCATCTACACAGTAGCAAGCACGCGGCGAACAATGCAAGCAGGTAGAAAAGCCACTGCTATGCAGATATGCTCCCATTCTTTTCCCGGCCACTGGACAATTTGAAGCTCTGTGGAGTACTAGTGCTAGAATCTGATATGGTAGATTGTGATGTTGTTTCCCCGTTATACCAACCGCACATTCGCTTGACGGCGTCCTGCCATCGTGCAAATGTTATCTCGTAAGCCTTTTTCACATGCTGGCGAGGATTGAATACGCAATCGATCTTACGTAGGGATTTTAATTCTTCTTTTGATTTCCAAATACCTAGAACAATACGAATATTCTATTTAGGTTTGAATGAGCCTGGTATAGCTTTTTAAAATTTTAGACTACAGAAGTTCGTGACATTTATCGCCATCTATCGACTATTAGTAACACTTGAATTACAATATTACTTTTGCTTACCTAATGTATATCCAACGATATGTGCACATCCTAGAGAAGACATTTCAACATGAACAGGGCGCTCCACTCGCAGCTCGGTAAGATCGGCAACAAGTTGGGCAATGAAATCGTTATTTGATACACCGCCATCTAGCCTGTCACAGAAACAATACATTCATTGCGTATATAAATTGAGATAGTTATAAGAAACTATGAGCAATTTAATTCTAAGCCTAACTATAGATGGCGTCGCATCCTTTAAAAAACCTAGCTACAACGTTTAAATTTTCCAGAAAAATTTAAGTGATAGTGATTTGGTACATTCGAGTTCAAAAATATAGTAGCCATGCCAATATCTCAAAATATTGTAAGCGTTAAAATGATCATATTACGTATATATATGGTTCCATACACACTTTTACATCGATAAAATGTTATCATATAAATTTACATATGATGTCACGGAGTGCTTACAAAAAGGAGTGTGTTGTGAAGAAAACAAAGCTGTTTAGAATTTTATGAAACATACCATTGCCTATATATTTTTGATTTATGAACATGGTCCGATATTAAAGATCTCGAAGTCGTACTTATAAGTAATTGTAAGTATTAATAAAATTTACTTATAGCTATAAGCTTTTTTTCTAGTCTAGCAGATATAGCTATCAAATTTAAAATGAAGTAAGACAAACTCTTTATCTTTATAAAGTTATTAAAGATCGATGGGTCCACACAGAATCGAAATAGTTCAGACATTGAGAATAAAATACAGTTCAGCCATTTTATATGGGTTATGTTATGAGTATGGTATGGCTATGATACCAAGGAATAAAATTACATACATAGAGAACAGAACATTATCGAGAAACAAAAGCTAAATATTTGTTTGTTCGTATTTTATGTGTAGCCGTACTGCTTTCCGATTAACGCGAAATTATGCATACATGATGCCAGCAATACACAGAAGGACACATACAATACACAGGTAGTACTTGTTTCGTCCTTCGAGAGGTACCTCCTCTCGAGGGACGAAACAAGTACTTCCTGCGACAGAAAAATCCTAGTAATTAAAAATTTATTTACCTAATAACGTTGAAGCTATAGTCAGTCTCTGCTTTCACGCAGGCATAGAGCTGCGCAGTACGAAATGCGAGGGACTCCAGCACTGCCCGCACTAAGTGCGCCTTACTAGTTGACGGTTTCATACCCACGAATCCTGATGCAGCCGTGCCGTCGTTGTATGGTGGCTGTAATTACAGCAGTAATGAGAAAGATGATTTATTCTTATACTGGTTGATTAAATAGATATGTATGCTTGATAAATTATAAAACTAGCTATAATTAAAAAAGCTGTGAAGCGATGGTATGGTATAAAATTGGCTTTATTCTTTCCGTCCATTATTGGGCAGATGACTGCTAAGTCAGATCAGAAGGGCAATTTTCATGATAAAAGTTCGGTCTCAATTCAGTTCCGATCAACTCTCGATCTCACAACTGTCATAATAGGTATTTTTGTAGTTCACACCGTTTCTATAGTAGCGAAGCCATTTTTACAACAAATTAAACATTTTGTTAATTTATTTACAGACAAAAGATAAGTGTAAATGTAGGGTAACAAGACTGCTTACAAAACCAGTACTTCATCAATTCACTCTCATCCACGCCTCGCCTCGCCGGTATAAAACCACATCCAGTGCATACCTTCAAAAGCTATACACACACGCGCGAATAACACACATACACACAGGACACACGCACATACACATGTACTCACACTATTCTCCGACTCACACACAAGGTGGAATTATTATTTATTTTATTGTGTTGTTAAGCTTCTCTGTTTAGAGCAATCATGTATTTCCTTTACATTAAATAGAAAAAAAAATACATGAAAAACTTGTAAATCTAACTACTGTCATCCTCTCAACCTACTTCAGACACCAGCTCCTCACATATATTAGATAGCACAATAAATATCCTAAGTGTACTTCACTACTTTGTGTATAAGTAAGTCTTTATTGTGAGGAGAAATAAACGTTATTATTATTACATTTAATGGTTCAGGCGAATCAGCATATTTTAAACATAAGAACCTTATTAAATACTCACACATTTGCACTCAAGACTGTCTCATGTGGCATAGTAACCAGGTAGAATAATAGCGCAAAACCGTCATAAAATAACTCATTAATTTAGTGCTTTATTTTTCCAGAATTGTCTTAGTTTTCTAGAAGTCTTCGTCACATTCTAGTCGTAACAATTTTTTTATTACATCTCATAGATTTATTTTAAATTTAAAAATTCTTTTATTACAGTAATAACTAAATAAACCGAATACAAATAAAACTATTCATAAGCTCATACGTTCATTATTTTAACTTACTTGGTCTCTAATATATACTTGTATACCAGTGAAAGTATATATTAATATTTACCCCGAGTCCACTAAATGCTGGTATGAAGTATACACCATCTGTGTCCGGGACTGACAACGCGATCTCAGCTGTTTCTTCGGCATTTCTGAACAAGCCTGATAATAAAAATTAACAATTTAGTAACAGAAGTAGAACGAATTTCAATAATGACAATTTGGGAATGTTGCCATTACTTTTTTTGATATGAAACATGTAATGCAAAGAGTCACACTGTCTGTTAATGTATCGACGCGTCGCCACGGCATGCCTCGCCACGCCATGTCATACAGAATTTAATAATGATGAGAATTAAGTTGTCTCCACTTGATTTTTGTATTAAAATAATATAAATGTATAATGAATAAACCATCATCTTATTGTTTGAAAAATATATATCATTATATTTTTGATTGCGTTTATTTTTTTCTTTTTAATGAACCACACGTAAACATGCCACGCTTTGCTATCTTTTTCCGAAAGCGATATACACTCTTTAAGTTCCTAAATATAGGGAAAAGATATTTATTTGTTATGTTCTATTATTATATGTTCTTTTATATGCAGTATGCATACAATAGAATATACAAGCGATAAACGATCCGAGGTCAGAGTGTAAAACAGTGAATAATGTGCGTTTATATCTACACAGCAAGGTTATCGTTTATCTATACCTACTGATATCATAAATCTGAAGGGTACCTATTTAGTCTGTTTGTTTACTTAATCGCGTTAATCTCTGGAACATTTAATCAGATTTGAATAAATGACCTTGTATATTAAATTTATTTATTACAAAAATAAACAATAAACCTATTTTTAAAAAAACCTGTTTGTAATAAATACTGATTATTTGGTAAAGTAAAATTATTCCACAAATTGAATCGGAAATTGTTGTCAGGGTGTAAAGATAAATAAGGAAGAAAAAATCCTTATCGCATGGTAGGTACTAAGTGAACTTTGCTTCTTTCAACTTCAACAGAAACGTCGACGTCATAATGAATAAAAAACCTATGGCAAAAAAAACAAGTGTAATTATACTCTTGTTTTTTACCTATGATATAGTACAGTAATAATGATTTATATCGCACTATCTAATTTTTACAACTTATACATCATCATAAATGTACTTGATAAAGTCGTTTAACATTACATACTACCTACATTAATACCTTACAAGATTTTTGCACCACTCAAACGTTGACAGGAAGAGAATGCCCGGGGCATTAATGCCGATGTACAAAAGTGCATATAGTATAATATCCGTTCAAAGAACGACAAATATCGTATAAAAGCAAAAGCATAACAACTCCCTCACTGTCTTACTATGGATCTGAGTAGCAGCTAAAAATGGATTTATCGAAGTAGCTTGCGTAGCTTGTTCTAATATAATTTTCGTTTTTATTGTTACGTGTTAGGGTTCGTTGATTTGGAATAATAAACCTTCTAACGACTAAAAAGACTTTATTGCTAACACACTTAAGAACGTTCAAACAATACTGAATGACCGGAATAATCGCCGAGGTCGCTGGGTTACACTTCTATTCTATTCGTTTAGATGCTTCGATGTTTATCGCCTGGAGATTTGTCACACAGGTTTCGAACCTACTACAAACTCCAGCTCTCTCTAAGGTGTCATGTATGTTATATTTATTGTAGTAGCATAACAAACCTGTGTACCTATTTACCTTTTTGAGACAAATAAACCTTATTATTATTATCACACTAGCTCGAACTGAATTGTCACCGACGACGACGTGCCCGTATTTATAATACTCGCCAGACTAGAAAGCTCTTTACAGCTTATTCTAATCCCTAGAACTTTCGATTTTTGAGAAATACAAATTCGTTTCAAATGCAAACAAGATAATCGCTCGAAAGTCTATTTTCGATCTTATGCTTATTGTTATAGAACTCATCCGTGCCACCCTGCAATATTATTAGAACCCTTTCTGGAATTCAGCACTGAATTAATTTCTCAAATTTTCGTGATATTTCGTTTATACTCATTTACTAACATATAAAATAATAATCACCTAAATTTTGCGCCCACTTGATGATCGACGCGGTGTCGTTGTTGGCGCCTTCTGCAGAGAACACGAGTTCGTCACCGAGCCTCCACCCTACTATGGGATAAAGACCCGATACACTGGCATGAGGTTCCCCTCCAGTATTGATATTGAAGAAGGTCCCTGTACCCATCGTAAGCTTCACATCACCAGTCTCGAAGCAACACGATCCCCACATTGAAGCTGTTTGATCTGCCATCTATGGACAACATATTTTTAGTAATACTAAATAATCTATATAAATAAATAAAATTGAAGTGCAAAATAATAGGTTTTTTTCAAGCTCATACGGTTATTTGCACGATACCTTTGCCTAAAAACCAGTGTTATTTTGTTTGTTTGTCTATCTGTCTGTTTGTTCCGGGTTATCTTCTAAACGGATGGACCGATTTTAATAATATTTTACTACCAGATAGTTGTCTATAAGGAGTAACTTAAGACTATTTTTCCTCTTAGAAAAACCCTATCAAATTTTGCCCGGGAATCAAATCCACTAAGGAAACGTTTTTAAAATTTCACGTTAATAAATTACAGTACTAGTACCAAAATAGTATACGATTAGATACAGATTCATGAATTCATATGAATTTTTGAATTTGTGCCGTCTACTGTTCTTTGTTTCTTACATTTGTTGAAACGCTATATACGAGGGCTGCTATTTATGTATCCGGAATAACAAAGTGAAACAAACATATGGTTTTATTGCTTTTCAAAATATTCGCCGTGATAATCGATGCACTCGTGCATACCGTGGAACCAATTTTCGTAGCACTTTTTCCATTCTGATTGTGGTATCTCCAAAACGTGCATTTTGAGCGCATCAACAGCCTTTTCACGGCTCGAAAAACATGACGGTTGGGAATAAATAGAAATTTGTCCGGGCCAAGTCAGAGCTGTACGGCGGATGACCCCTTAATTCGATCTTTTGATCTTCCAAATACTGAGTTGTTTCGGCCGATGTGCGGCAGCTAGCATTATCATGATGAAGAAGGATTCTGCGTTGTCGGTTATTCTTTCTTATTTCTTCAAAGACTTCTGGCAAACAAATGGTCGTGTACCATTCAGAATTAACTGTTTTACGATCCTCTAGTGGCACTGTAGCCACATGTCCATTTATACCAAAAAAAAAAACAAGCGACCATTTGCTGCAAAGTGCTTTTGAACGAATGACTTTGGTTGGGTTCAGCTCATCTTGGAACACCCAAACCGTTGATTGTTGTTTAGTTTCACAATCATACGCATATATCCAAGATTCATCACCTGTGTAGATATTATAGACAGCTTTTGACACACCCTGATTGTACTTTTGTAACATTTGAATTGACCAAAAATGAGCCCATTTTTGGTCAATTCTCAAGTTATGCGGAATCCAATGCGAACCATTGTTTTTTTACAGCTAAGAAATGTTCGTGTATTATTTTATATGTACTCGTCATACTTATTGCCAATGACGATCTTGCATTATTAGTTTCCGCACAGCATCGATATTTTGAGGTACTACAAAAAACCGATTTAGGGCGACCTTCTTTAAATTCGTCCGTCAGGACAGGCCGCCCTCGATTACTCACTAATCAATACACAGTTGTTTTTTATGGTGCTCGTCCCCTTCAACTCAAAAAATATATTTAAATAATAAAATACTTGTCATGTAGGTAAGTGGTGGTTTGTTTTTTTAATTGTTTTTTTAATGAAATTAAAACCCCTTTAAAGTTGAACATTTATTATTACATTTATACATTGTTGTTAAAAAGCCTAACAAACAACACGTCACGCAATTAGTGCCAAACACATTTCGATATAAATAGGCATAAGCAGATAAAAATAAATAGAAGCAAGAAGATAACAAAGTTACAATATCAATATTGTATCAGATATCAGTTGGCACTTGATTTGATTATAATTATATGGCTAGAACAATAATGATAATAATTGTGGTTGATTAAGGAGCGTTACATGGTGTATTTAAAGAAGATTTTTTTTAAATAAAATACATCATCATCATCATCATCATCTGCCTACCCTTATCCCAATTTTATTTGTGGTCGGCGTAGCAAGTATGATTCTCTCTATTCTATCATTTGAGATCTCACTGTTTACTCCCTTCCTAGCCATATCCTTACTCACACGGTCCATCCACCTTTACTTTGGTCTTCCACTTCTCTCGTACCCCTTAACTCCCATACCTAACACTTTCTTCGCCACATTCTCCTTATCCCTCCGCATTTATTTTTAAATGAAATACATAAAGACCAAACATTGAAATGTTTAGATAGTGACTACACGGATGGCGTAGTGGTATAAGCGGTCACCTCGCTGCTTCCTACTGCACTGAGTGCTGTGGGTTCGTACTCACATGGGAAAATATTGTATGTAATCCACAAATTGTTGTTCTAAGTCTGGGTGTTCCTATGTCTTTAAAATCTCCCGCTGATAAATGAATCCCGATGAAAAATGATATATTCCTAGTGCGGGAGTTGCCTTCCTTAAAAAAGGGAGACTTTTTGGCAATAGGGACTTCAGCAAGCAGTACAGGTGCAATAGGCCTTGACCTGTTCGAGCTATTGCTTACACTACCCATATACATCCGCATTAGCAATATCCCTTCCATGGTCTTTTCTTCTCACCTACTACTCCTTTCAATATTCTCTTTCCTATCTAATGCCTAAAGTGGAAGTGGAACTAAAAAACCCATTTTGGGATTTGAGCGTGAATGTACGTATTCACGTTTAGTATTGTACATATTTTGATTGTAAGCAAGCGTGAGTGCTTTTTACTATATTTTATAATAACTTTACATTTATAAAGTTACTAATTAACTATTTGTAAAATTTGATGTCAAGCATCTTATGCCTTTCACCTTTTTATTTCATCTGAATTTAAGCAGTCCCCTTGAAGTAAATATGTTTTTTTTTTATCTCATCACAATGTCTCATCATCATTGATACTTTGATTTACTAGGCACGATTTTCTTTTTGGTGTGGTTGGATTTTCTATTCATTCGAGTGAAACTGTGATTCAGAAGCTTCAAACGTAATCTGCAAGTTTAGCTTGCTCCGATCTACGTTGGTTAATTTAAATAAAGCGTTGTTCTTATTCGCTACTAACTGAATTTGAAAACTAAGAAGTTGGAACTTGAGAGCAATTAATACACCGTTGCGTCCCATTTATCCTCTCAGTTGAACTGTTTTGTGACGTCAATAATAGAGTTTTTTTATTAGTATTAGTCTCTAAGAATCTAATACGTTGTTATTTTACTTAAATACCAATACGTTGTCAATATTTAGGTAAATAAACAGAGCGCCGGGCACGCCGTCATCGCGGCGGTAAGACCCGTTATGGAGAATTGGCTCGAGAGGTATCACGGGACCCTCTCATACCGACTGACGCAGGTGATCACTGGGAAAGGATGTTTCGGGGATCAACTGTGTCTGATCCGCAAGGAGCCAACGCCTGAGTGCCACCACTGCGATGATTGGACCGTGGACACGGCGCTCCACACGCTGGCAGAATGCCCGGCATGGGTGGAGCAGAGGCGAGATCTCGTGGCGGCCATCGGAGTGGAAGTTCCTATCATATAAGCGCAGGCCTGGGGGTGAGAGGTGAGGCCATCTGTTACCCTAGCAGAAGCACGCTGCGAGGCACGCGCGCCCTTCCGGGAGCACAGAGGGAACATAGGGGTTCCCACACAGGGGGATCATCTACCCGCCGTAGATGGCCGAAAGTAGGTCGGGGCACCAGGGAGTTCCACGACTGCTGGTACCTGAGACGGCGTGCGGTTTTAGTCGGTTCGAGCCCGACATTGCCACCGGCAAGTGGTATCCGAGGGGATTTCCGCACAGAAAAAAAAAAGGTAAAATAAACAACAAATTCATTTTAAAATACGAATCAATAAAAAATATTACTCACACAACTAACTATCCGTATCGGGTGTCCCCATATTGTCGCCAGCGAGCTCGTGAAATGATCACCAGCTGTGTCCACGACCGTAGGTAAAGCGTCCCTGGGTATCTTTAGCAAAGTGATGGCCCAATTCGCCCACTGCATCGTGAATGGGTCGTAGAAACCAGTCGCCGATGCCGAGGACACGTCGGTCATGTGAATTTGACCACCTAAGACATATCGATAATGCTACGAAGTTATGGTTGTACGTCACATTTAAAACGACACAGAACAATGGAAACTTACTAAATAGTGTGCGCTAGGTACGAAACGTACCTATTTACATTTTTTTAAATATTAAGTTAAATTTTGACACGACATACAAACCACTTCAAAGATTGGTTTTATCTATTTTTCACGTCAGTTTTGTTCTTCATTTCTCATCAATGCAACAACAATGTGCCACACCGAAGCGTGGCAGGGTACAGCCATGTCTTTACATTTACTATCCGTGTTAAGGGAGTAAATGGACGAATTCAGGGAAAATCAAGCACTTATATCGCACAATTAACTCGTGAAATCATCAATAAACAACCAGAGAACCAGTGTAATAGTTTGACCTTAGAAGACTTATAATATACACGCACCAACATGAAATTGGTAAAATATTAAAAAAACTTTATTTCAATAAAGGTTTTCCAATAACTAATTGATATACATTGAGTACTGGATATGTAGGTTCAGAAACTGCAATGCGTAATGAAAAGTGGAATCTCTCAAGAAAAAAGTAAAGAATATCGAAAGTATCTGCCTACCCGCAATAGCATAATGATGTTAGTTTCCGTTAGTGTTATCAAATTATCACGGGAGGGGAAGAAAATTTAGATAGGCAACGGTTGAATACACCATCGAGTGGGCCGTAAGGTCCCTGTCAAGTTAGTTCTATTTTTGATATAAAGGAAAGGGTGGTTCTTAATTTTTAGTTTGTCGGAACCTAACGGTAATAAGTGGCAGTAGCATATAGGTCGAAATAGCGCTAAATAGTGGCGGGTTCGAACTTCACGTAATGCACTACTATATTTGTATATTTCAAATATTTTGCAGAAACACAATTTTACTTATATAGTCGAGACTTTAATTGTTTGTGTAAAATAAGGAAGTTTGTAATTTTTGATGTAGATCAGAAATTAACAACTACAACAACAGCTATTTAAAACATTCGCAAATTAATAATATAGATTTAGTATTTGTTTTAACTTTGTCAAAATGAACAAACAATATGAGATTGATAATCATTGGACAGTATTCATCAGTTCTAAGCTAAAATGCATGAATGAACTTATTAATGATCGCATTAATAACTTACAAATGGAAACGATAATACAAACGCTATTGCGACACTGTGGACTATTAATGTTATATTACTTCAACAATTACGGAATACCGCAAAATGTTCCACTCCGATAACAATGTTAAGTTTGATTAACCAGACCAAGATTTCAAACTCGTTATACGAACTAAAGTATGATAAATAAAATACACAGGAGGAATAATTTGGTCAGATTAACATTGAACAGAAAGAGGAAAACTATAATGTGTTCGACCTTTTTGACTGCGAGAATGGCGGGTCAACCTGTGTAGACCATCTGAGACGGCGTGCGGTTTTAGTCGGTTCGGGTCCGACATGCCACCGATGGGTGGTATCCGAGGGGATTTCCACACGAAAAAAAAAAAAGATGTGGATCTAGGTCCATCTAGGTGGCAGGTGAATATCGGGCAATACGCGAATAGCGCAATGTTTTAAGTATTCGCTTCATAATGACTCTGGGTGTACCTTGTTTTCTGTGTCATATAGAAGACCTATATTATGTTATATGTTTTCTGTGTCATATAGGTCTTATCTTAAATTCAATATGAAACAAAGGGTGGCCAAAAAATATCTCAGAAAACCTTTGGATGTATTTAGTCAGTGGTAGCTGAGGGACCTGAGGATCTATTACTATTGTTTAATAACTAAGTATGTACATATACATAAAAAATACGCATAAGCGTTCCGTGATTAATTAAAAATCTATTAAATTACCTGTCATTTTATATAATAGCCATGTATCCAAGGTTCCAAAAAGTGCATCGCCATCTTGTACGGCATTCTTGAGTGCGGGTACGTTGTGTAGCGTCCAATAGAGTCTCAGACATGTCTACAAAAACAGTTATGTTAGTAATCAAATAATCCATCTCAAAAACACAAGATGCAATTGAATATTGAATACACGTTTTTTTTTTTAATTTTAGAAGGGGCTCGTGGCTAAGTGGTAGCCGAGTAGATTAACACATGGCAAAGTTAAGCAGTTTTAGCCAAGTCAGTTTCTTAACACATTCAGACTCCTCTGAGCTTCAGAGAGCACGTTAAGCCATCGGTCCCAGTTGCCATACGAACATCTGTGGCAATTGTTACGGGAGCCCTACGCATCCGACAACAGTCTTTCTACAAAACTTCAATATCGCCTATTTGGGTTGTGGAAGCCAGCCGTATCGTAGTAAACTTAAAGCCGACTTCAACCTAGTTTGGGAAAAGGTTCGAAGGAAGTAGGTTCGGTTTTATTTTAAAATAGTCAATTGTGTCGTTGACGTGTACTTAAAAGTACATATGCAACTGTCCTATGCAATTGGCATAAAATTCAAATTTATTCATAAAAATTTAACAGACCTCCAGTCGGCTGTTTTAGCCTTTCTTAGAAGAGACTTATTATGTCTACTAGCCCGTTGATGATGATTTAACAGACTTCAAATAAAACTGCTTCTTCATTTAAGTTTATGAGTGCAATTTTAACACGATATTTTTGAAATTCGACTCGACGTTGTCAGACACATTTACACGAATTATTATTGATTGCATTTCAAACAAAACTCTTCAATGGTTAATATAATTAAATTAATCTGTCGTGACCTAAAAACTCGAAATATTTTAAGGCCCATGGTTTTACATAACGAAAAAGGTTGTAAAATATTTCTAAATATTAATGGTAGTAAACCAATTGTATAGAAACTAGTATAACTTATATGAGGCAATATATGTGATAAATGGCTTTTAATGATTTAATATTTTGTCTACTAATATATTATTAGTAACCTTTATAGTAAGAGCATGTTCAGATTGAACGGGAATTGAAAACGCTATTCAACAAAAACACACTTTTTATTCAAGTCTTTCAAATACAAACGCGCGATGTGATCCAACGCGCGTTTACCACGACGACAACACCTGTGGACTTAATATGCTCATTTAGACCATTGGTTTGCTTTACATTCGTTCACAAAAGCGCACATTACAACCGCAAATTAAGCGCCAACGTCTAATTAAAAAGATTTGGGTACTAGAAATAGTAAATACAAGTACCTAACATGAGTACACTGACACTTCATTTCATACATTTCGTGGGCCTTATTCACGTAAAAGATAAAAATACAAACAGAAGTCGAATTGATAGAAAAATTAAATGCAACTGCACTGATTACTTGATATTATCAATGTAGTTGACAATAAATAGAACGGTGTATATACAGTTATATAATTTTAAATTTACTATGTTGAAATTGATAATAAATATCGTTTATATTTCTAGTGCGTTCAACGTTTTACTTTTTCTGTAGCTGTCTACAGCAAACGCAATATGCTTGAAATTATGCACCTAATGTCTAATTATTTCATCATTTCAGCCGAAAAACGTCCTGTGTTGGACATACATAGGCCTCCCCCAAGGCTCTCCACAACAACCGGTCCTATGCTGCCCAATGTATTATTTAATTTATTATAATGTCCATTGTGTAAGTATGTTACAGATCGCATAATTATGACGTGGTCAGTCATTGCGTTGCTAAATACCAAGGCCCTGTTTATTGCGTAGGAACTGGCTGCCCGCTATAAAGTGGTTTTTAATACGCAAATAGCTAGAAAAATTACGAAAGTGGCCACCGCCATCCTGTGAATTTATTAGTTTGCACTATCACGTATATACCAGTGCATTGAAAACACGAGAGACTCCTATTTCACACGACCACACAACCAAACCCCCTAACCAACTTTTTTGAGGACGACGAGCCATGGAAGCAGACCCTTCCATCGTCTTAGCCATAGCTTTGTTATAACCATAAAATACCTTTTAATACATTGATTATAATAGGAATATTTCGAGTTACATAAAAGAGTGCCGTTTCCCTACTCGTATCTCTAAATCCATAAGTTGACAGTGTGATTTGATTTGACAGCAATAGGCCATTAAGTAAATAGGACCCATTAGGTACAGCTGGCAAAATGTGAGTGTATAATAAGCATCTGATGACCACATTAGAAGGTGTGAGTATATGTATGACTAGGTTCACAGAAAAAGAAAATACTGTATATTTACAAAGCATGTTACGTAAGTTTTAACGGTAAAAAACTATTTGAAAGAAACAAGTTTTCGTGTATTTATTATCGTAACCAGCTAAGAACGTTAAGGTTACCGTAAAACCCTAAATTTTTACATTGTATTAATTATATATTGTATTAATTATCTGGTCAAATAAAAAAAACCACCCCTACTGTTTTGTCTGAAACGCTAAAGAATATTTTTTTAATAATAAATGAAATTAAATTAAACTTATTTTAAAATATTAAGTTTGAAATAATATTTTGAGGTATATTTATATTTTATAGTCAAATATGGAACCTTTTCGTGTTCATCACTCATCATCAGCCTATCGCAGTCCACTGCTGGACATTGGCCTCTCCCATTGCTTTTTCGTGTAATTAGTAACAATTTTCAAATTTGCAAATATTTCATAATTTTCTTGGTTTAAACGTCTAGTTTAGAAATTGATTTATCGTTGCTACAAAAGATTTGCAAACTCGAATCAAACCGTTTATATACCAAGTAGAAAATCTCGCTAAATGTGAAGTGATATGTAGGACTCAAACTGCAGGGCAAAATTATATGGTGTTTCTTCACAAGTGATTCTATTGTAGGAAACCCGAATCACCCTAAGAAAAAGCCTCTAAGAACCCTGATGCCTATAAAGAAGCGGCTATAAGAGTAGTCGGCAGACCTTAGGGGCAACATTAAAAAGCAGCCGGCCAGCATACAATAGCATACAAAGATTGGCTAGCTTACACATGATAGGGTTTGCCAAAACAGCTGCATCTCGTAAGCATCTGCGTCAAAGAACGAAACGAAACTACTGTGCGAAAGATGATACTTATGCTCCAGCTAATACTAGAGACGCAAAACTAAAGTATGATGTAATTTTTGAGTATGTATTGCTGATATAAAAGGATACTGTAGATACTCCTTCCTCCCCCTAATTCTCAGGAGTAATTTATTTATTTTATTTATTTATTACACATTTATGACTTTTAGAGTTGTAACATACTGCCTTGGAGATGTCAATATCAATTAACTTCTACTAAATTGACAAGGTCACATTATTTCTTATAATATATGTATTTAGAACTTATAAATTACACGTATTTATTTAATTATATGTATCTAATAACACCACCAGCCGTGTTCAGCACATTGTATATTCCCTCTAGTATGTTATATATTCACCTAAGTCCAACAAATAGATACTATGTGTAATTGTCACTTTTTATAGTTATGTATTTACTACTTTGATTTCAATTTCTTTTCTATTTTCTAATACACCAGCCACTACCCAATACCTCCTCCCTTTCATGTTTTCTCTTTCATTATTATCTATGGGCGGCAGTAGTCTCTAACTCGTATCAGGTGAGCTGTCTGCTCATTTGCCCCCTTTACCATAAAAAACTGTGTATACAACGGGGTTTCAATTGCTAACTACAATTAATTAATAGATAAACAAGTCTAACACCACCACCACATGTGATGCAGGTTTATAATATTTAATACATGCATTTCTTTACTCTTACAGTAGTATTCATTTAATTGAGGTGTAAAAAAATGTTAGTAGAATAATGAAAATATTACCTGAGTATTCATGAACTTGAATACACTTCCTGCTCTAAACCTCTTGCTTCTTAGAATGAGATATAGTATGTAGGCACTTATTTTCAACAGCTGAAAAAACAAAATGAATGCAGTAATGCTCTCAGTAATAAGTTTGAAACACTATTTATAACTTGATAATAATACCTTCCATGTATATGATGAATTCCACTGTTTAACTAGTTTATCAGCTCTCAAATCCTTCCAAGTAATGAATTTATGAAAAGGTTTTCCAGTTTTACGAGACCAGTTAAGGAAGGTCGCCCTTTGAGTTGATATGCCCATGGCAGTCACTTGTTGAGCAGTTATATTGGCATCTTTAAAAAAAAAACTAATTAAGCTAATTAAAGGAAATAGATAATAAAATAAATGAAACTCTTCATTTATTTTTTTATTATTAAGTACTAGTCATTTAAATAATAATCACATTTAGAATCACTGAATGTATACTGAAGGTCAAGATTAATAAAACAATTTAAAAATGCAAAACTGTGTTTTTTTAATTTCTAACTTAGTTAAGTATTCAATTTAAATACTAAATAAAGACATTCCATTAGGAAAATGGTCATATAAATATAGAACAATCCACTCAAACAGATAAGTAGGATAATAAAGAATACAAATCTTATATCAGAAATATAAAAAAAACTCTTTTCAAGTAAAACAATCAGTAAAACAATAAACTATACACAGTCATATTATTATTGAGGTTTAACTGGTAAAAGCTTGCTGCCTCACCTTTTAAAGATTTTTGTACTACATTCACCACAGAGGTCCATAGCTCATCTGGATCTATTTCAACGAATCCAAGTTTAGGGTAATGTAGCACTACCTGTATTTAAACAAAAATATATTTTAGCAATACTGTTTATTCAAAGACTAACTATACCTAAAACTGTTTAAATATATTTTAAAAGCCCCTTGCGTAACCCAAACAATTTCATTGTGTAAATAATTTGAAATACATATTTTCAAAAACATAAATACCTGATCAACTGCTTTTCCGACTGCTTCAGTCTTAGAATTGTATATAAAACAGCGAATAGTACTAGTCCCAATATCTAAAGTTAGAATATGTTTATCCTCCATAATATTAACACACAACTTATATCAAAATGATTTAAAGTTGATTTAATAAATAGTCTCGTCTCGTATCGTGTTCCACGCCGAACTCATTTCTAAATAAATTAACAACGAAAATTAAGCCGATTCAAAGTCGGTCAACACCAGTCAACACTTAGATGTCAAACTGCTAGTGTCACCTTTAATCAGAATCAAAATTGACAAGTCTCAGATGTTATGAGAGTGGGACTGTCATGTCATTATTAAAAGTGCTTGTTTTTTTCTTCTGCTATGTTACTTTGCCTTGGCCCAATCAAAAAGTAAAATTCCACGTTTTATGAAAATATTTTACATACATGACAATAAGCCAAATTTTTGATGGGAGGGATGAAATACAGACTATTCTGTTTCTCGGAAAGACGCTATGGCTACTTCCCTCCGGTCCGCCTGTGGCCTGTGTTGCTCTATGTTTTCTGCAGTCGCAATTAAAACAAATATTAATATTAACTAATACTTAGTTTTGAGGAAAATCCTTATAGCTAGAAATAAGCAGTAGCACCTTAATCGTAAATCCTATTAACATTTTTTCCCTCCCATCAATTTTTTTTAAACACAACTTTCTAGCATAGCATAAAACACAGTTACAATGAAATTTTGAATTACGAGTATAGGAAATTAATACGATTTATCGAAAAAGAATCTAGAAGCCATTGTTAAATCTTGACTATCTCCTCCTCAATCGCCGTCTGTTGAAGCTGACGTTGAAGCAATCTCGATTGGAGGTTAGATATGCCCTGCAATTAAGGTTAACCTCACCTGAGGAAGTGGAGGTCTACTGGCAGCTTCAAGAGCTGGAAAACCGTCGCCTTTCCTACATCAATATCTGGAGACTATACCATGGCAAGCGATATTGTCCCAAACTCACAACGAATCAGACGAAGATCAGCTTCACGAGCAGAACAAACAGAAAGCAATAAAATGAGCGCACAAGTGGAAATGATAGCGGAAAAAGGAGGGGCTACTTGTTGAGACTCTCCAGGATATCTTCAATTGCTGTATCTAAGTAGGAAGACCAATTCGGTTTATCAGTAGCACAAGAAAAAGAAAGTTGCCAATAAGTTTGCATGTTTTAGCCAACGTGGCTAAAACATGCAAATGGGAGTAGCAATCTATTTTAGTTAAGGTGTAGTGAAACTTGTTATATTTCTTCATTAAAGTTGCATTCTTATTGTGTAACATAATTAAAAATCTTTATTTAAACACACTTCTTTTACTTAATTTCAAGAGACACTCCATTTTGGCACCAGCGCGGCAACGTGTTGAATTTATTTAAAAATGTGACTGCTATAAATCGACTATCTTAACCTTGCTTATTAGGTAATGTCACTGCTTTTTTTTTGAACATGGTAACATATTTGTGTTCCTGACAGACAAGCGCGTTTTGGATCTCCGAATGCTAAAAATTGTGATGTAAAACGAAAAAATAAATATTTACTGGCCATCATGGCGAATCCAAGAAAATTTAGTGAAAAAATAGCCCTTCATCACCAAAAGCAGGCAGAGGAAACAGCTGCTTTTGAAAAAATTATGCGCGAAGTTTCCGACGCAACCCAAAAGGTATGTCGCCTATTTACTCAGGCAGTTGCTTCCTGGCCGTCAAATGTGCCCGCCGACGTAAACAATAATCATTTCAATACACTTATTGCGCCTAAGCTTTCACATGAACATTTTCTCATTAATTCAATAACAAAATTACACTACTCTTCTGTATACAGTTTGCAATTGTCATTGTCAAAATGATTTGAAAGTGTATTTGGTAATCTATACAATAACCAGATACAATAATGGTATTATATATTGCAATGTAATTACTTATTTCTTCATTTTTATTAATAATAACAGTGACATACAGTACATTTTAATACACCTGTAGGATCACATATTATATTGTAAATATAAATAACAATGTTTTCAGTGAATGATATAATATAAAATCTCAATAAGTCGTTTAGAAACTTATATGAAATGTAAATAAAATAACAAAAGTTTTTCCTTCTCAAACTTTCGTATTATTTAGAGCATGTTTATCATGATAGTATGGGCAAAATGTGTTCAGGCATCATGATTACAGGTCAATTCAAGTAAATTAGCAAGAGTCGAACCACTACCCGAGTCTAGTGATAATGTTGAGTCAACTCTTCGTCCGTCCGCACAGCAAGGCTTGGGCTCATTCCGCAGTGGCTCCCTGCCAAATGTGGCTGCACCACAGGCCTCCACCATTGTACTGGAAACAAATAAGGTTCCTTATGTGTGGAATCAGAATATTCAATCCCCCTATTGCATAAATCTACCAGTTAATATCCACTTTGCAGGTAGCAAGGGTCCTGATCAGCAAAATTCTAGAGAAAATATTTTTTCTTACAAATATGCTATTAGAGGTATAAGCTTTTACAAAAATTCAAAGCTTGTAGTTACCTGCAAGGTTGCAATTGATCATGATTTATGGTAGAACTTGGTATACCTACTTTATTTTTTGGTAGTGGTGCAGTTGTAGCTGGCTGAGATTATTATTTTTATTAATTCATTTAAAGAGCTATAATCCACAAACTATTCCAGGTTTATTTATTTGTGTTTGCTATGTCAAATAATGTTGTAAAACAGTAGTTATTAACAGCTACTCAATTTTTTATTAATGTTAATGTGTGATTGTATCAATGCTAATTGTATTACCACTTTATAAAACTTCTTCAAACAGTACTAAATAGAATCTAATGCCTGTAACAATAAACACATATATGGTAATTCTTATTACCCAATTATTTTTATTTACATTAGAACATGTGTTCTTATTATTTAACTTGATCATCAAAACTAACACTGTCATGTGTTCACTCCTATTGCATTTATAAAACCTTTTTATTTTAAAATAATTTTAGTGTGATATTGTTCCCATGTCTTCTTTAATTTGTAGATTAAATGTAAAATAGTATACCTTAGCAAATGGTGCAGCATGTTTGTCAGCATACTAGCTTTTCAATTCAACGGCTCTATTTTTTCTAAAATGCACCATTTAGAAATAGCACTCAATATCTAAATACCCTGCTAATTAAAATGTAAGTGTATTAAGAATGATTGAATGTATATTAGCTTGTGTGTTAAAATATAATTTATGCTTGAGCTGAATCTTATGTGGATCAGTAACTAAATAGAAAAAAAATATGTAGAGAAAGGATCCAACTATGTATATTAGATTTTCAGTCATACACCCTGGATTGAATGATAGCCATAACATATTCTTTAGTGCAATTGCAAAAAAAAACTATTTGAAAATATTGACCAGCTTGTTGATCTAGAGTTTTGTCGCTAAGCTAAGTCATCACTTTGATTTTCATTAAGACCATATATAGTTGTATAGTAAACACTCCTTATTTCCGTGTCTATCACAATAATACATATGTTTCTTCATCAGCAGTCTGGTTACCTTAGTACAGGCTCTGTTTACTTTGGGGTCTGATGGCCCTATGTGTCAGGTTAATATTATTGTTCTGTAGAAATATTTCGTATCCAAATGGACAATTACTATCTAAGTTTTTGCCCAACCAACCTACATCAGATGTAGCTCAATAATATCAATATATTTTATAACATGTGCCAAGGCTATAGATTGACTTACAGTTACAGCATGCCCACATTAATGTTCCATTGTCAGTTTATTTTATTTATGGTAATCTATAGATATAACTAGTGAGAATTGTCAGTTATATTAAAATAGTTCAGTTCATAAGCAAAATCTTGTAGATAGTATTCAAAATTGATGTTAGTTATACAAGTTATTGTATACTCAATAAACGTTTTGACACCTTTTAGAGCATTGACAATAATTTATTATTTGTTTATCATTGTCCATAGCCCGAAGATATGCCGTTATCAAATCAATATGTAATGGCTGGTGGACGAAGTGGTGGAGCATCGCCATCGCGGTCGTCAGGGCAGCGCGGACGGGCATCATCTTCGGTGGGTCCGATGCGCCGCCCTGCCGACCGCAAACACGATACGAGTCCTTATGGCAGCACTGTATATTTGAGGTAATATTTTTTGTATATTTTAGGTTAAATTAAAATATTAGTGGAATTCATTTTTTCTAGGCACTATTTTATAAGTACATAATTATAAAATCTCTGATTGAAAAAAACTATCTATCTCATTTATGAATTTCGCATGTAAAATACTTGCTGTAGTATTAAGATGAATTTTCAACAATACTTCATCAGAGTAAACCTATGTAAGAATCATAATAAAGTATTTGTAACACACTAGTCCCAGCACCTGCCAGCCCCATTTGAAGAATATTTGTGTTAAATAAACTATTCAGTGAGGATGGTTAATGAGAGCATGCAAGGACTAATTCTTATTAAAACAACATGTGTGCATAATTTGATGCTCATATGCCTAGCGGTTACGACAGTACATTCGTAGTCAGTGATTTTATATATTAAAAACCACAATACAATAAATAAGGAAGAAATAAGTTAATAGTGATTTTAGTGTTCGGCCTGCTACCGATGATACAATGAAACCCCTATATCGGACACAAACCTGTTTAAACCATTTGTTTTCTCTTTATTTACGTCGGAATAATTCTGCACAAGAAAACAATTTCGGACAACTAGATGAATCACCAACAAAAAACGATCCGATCGAAAAGTTTTCAAATTACCCGGTCAAAAACCTAGCTAAACATGAATGCACCGCACCACCTCTACCTGGCCCAATGACTAGTTGTGAAGATTCATTTGGATATTGTTTACACAGCTATTTAGATATTTGTTTCTAACTGATGGCTGTACTGCATCCCTTACCACCACAAGTTCCCACCCTAGTTTTTTCTGTACTCAACAAAATGTCTGCAATACAGTTACTATTAACGCATTAGATTTGAACATTAAAAAACTGTATATGTGAACTATAACATGCTGTTTTTAAGGTTTAACGCAGACCGACAGAAAACAGCATCCTGTTGCAGTCATAATGGCATTAGGATTCTACTACAAATGCAAATCTTCTAATTCTTCTCATACAGAAGAATCATTCTTTGTCCAGAAAAAAATTCGTAATTATAAGAAAATTACTCTTAATCGAGCGAAAACCCGCAAAAAGAAAGAATGTAACCATTTTATTAATTAATTAACGTTCTTAAGTCATTGCTACCTGTACTACACAGACATTCGCGTTTTAAATAATTAAACCAGTTACAACTATATAATATATTAATGACGTCAATAGTATAAATGTAATACTTATGCTAAATTATCTAAAATGTGACACGCAGAGGAGCTGCCCCCTACAATTTGTTTGTTTAGATTGATTACTAAGGTCCATGAGGTAAAATAAGTCATGAGTCATTTGCGGTAATGTTAATTCAAGCTTTATTGTTACGCCGCATTCTAAGAAACCTCATTCATATTTAATAAATAATTGTTTTGTACATGGTGTCAACATACATATAGGAAACGGTAGGTCCTAAACGAGGACGTTGTGATGAATATGCATTGCAAAAACCCAGAGCTAGTGGATGTCTTCGCGCGTATTTTACCGAGCAATGTCGCACTGTAAAATATCGAAATGAAACCAGTCTATGCCGTCTTTGTAGTTGCCAAAGTTTCACTGCATAAATTATGGAACTTGTATTTATTTAATCAATACTGTTAATTCCATAGCAAGTTTAGGAACTAGAAATTAAAATAAAAACTTACATTTAGCAATAGGTGAAATAAATTTAACAGTACCATAAGAGTTCAATCCATACTAATATTATAAATCCGAAAGTAAATCTGTCTGTCTTACGCTTTCATAGCTAAACCGCTGAACCGATTTTAATGGAGATACCTACTTTGATTGTTGAGTGCAATCTATCGAACTCTGTTGTTTTAGTTCTAACTTCTAGTCTCTAGTGTGTAGTGTTTTTATTAAAGTGCCTAAGTCAATTCGCGAATTGACACTGTATAAAAAGTGGCTGATACAACACGCATTTTATAGCATGAACGAATTTTTCGATATGAAATATAAAAAAAAAAAATTATATTGAATTTTAAATGTTGAGTTTGACATTAATTATCCTATTCTATTTTCATTTCCATGTATATATATATATATATATATAATAATGATTATTTTAATTTTGTTAAGCGTCTTAAGTACTTAAATTTAAAATGCAATTTTTATGTAATAATATGTAATTTGATTTATAATGTAATGTGATTTAAATTTAAATTTGCATGCATGCAAATATTGGCAAAATTCAGTAATATTTTTTTTTGCAAATAAATTATTCTTAATCTCAACCGGGCAATTCATCCTTCTTTTTTCCTTTAATGGCTACTTCAGTGTGGCTAGGATTGTAGGTTAGTTTTTTATGATTTAGGAGGCAAAAGAACGGGTCATTAAAATAAAACGTAATTATTTTTAAAATCAAATGGTCATAAAAAGAATATTTTTTTGTATGTGTAAGTGCAAAGTATGTTTAAAAATGTAATTAGAACGTGTAATGAAATAAATAAAGAAAATAATGATATTTTTCTGCAATTACAGTCCACCACCTGACAGCAACTGGCGGCGTACAAATTCAGATTCTGCCTTACATCAGTCATGCGGCGTAGAACAGCCCGCCGTGGCACAGCCATTATCACCACATCGGCAAATGCACTCTCACGCTCATCCACACCTACATCCACATCAGAACCATCACCGGAGAGGTGAGCACTTTCTACTGTTTCATTGAAATTAGTGAAGTAATACTTAGCTTGTCCATATTGACATGAGAGTAGTTATTTAAGCCCATAAATTAATCAAAACAAAAAAGATGATTTGCGCAAGATGGCTGGCAGGAGTTGGATGCGAAAAGCCGAAAATCGATTCAAGTGGCTTGCAATAGGCTGATGATAATGAAAAAAAAAGTCATTTTTTACCGCCTTAAAAAAAATGAGGTTCTGGATTTAGGATTTTTAGAAAGAATGTTATACGATATTTTTGTTATTTCTGAACTGGTTTCGATTCCAAAATTCAAAAATCATTTTTATTTTATATACCTCTAAGAGAAAATGAAGGGATGACGGATTAATATTACGATTGTTAAGGTTAATTATTTGAAGTGTAAAACTTAAGATTACATACTTTTTTTTTCTATTTTGATACACTTGTAACTTTCTTCAAAGCGGTTTTTAAACAGAGTTACTTTGTACTGTAATGCTACAATAAATTCTGAAGTTTGGATAACTTTGTGGTTTAAGAAGTGGCTAAAAGTTGTTGTTTCTAAAAAGACATCGTTCTATTAAGACTGAACGGATGGCGTAGTGGTTTAAGCAGTCACCTCACCGCTTCCTACTGGCTGAGTGTTGTGGGTTCGATCCCCACATAGGAAAACACTTTGTGTGATCTACAAATTGTTGTTCTGTGTCTGGGTGTCTTTTGTGTCCGTTTCATGTAGGTATGTTTGTAAAGTTCCCCACGACACAGGATTTATTCGGGAGCGGGAGTTGTCTTTGCGTTTGCCTATGTTTTCCATCATTATCAGTTTATTTTATTTTTAGCTAATTTAGGTTTTAGCATTTGTTTAACTTAGTCTAATCTCACTTGTATTGTTGTAAGGCTGGTTAAAATTTGTTGTTCATGTAAACAGGAGCACAAATAGGTACTCCAATGGATTTTTTAAATATTTTAATGAATGCCTACTGTGTAATTAAATAATCGATTTATTCCATGTCCACTGTGTTTACAGACCTTTTTAGGGTTCAGTACCTCAAAAGGTAAAAAAGGAACCCTTATAAGATCACTTTCTTATCCGTCTGTCCGTCTGTACATGTGTCACCACCGATTTTCTCAGGAACGGGTAGACCTAGCAAATTGAAATTTGTACCAGATACTGAGGTCTTTGGTCCCTGTTAGGTGTATAAAAATCAAGGTCCTGAGTCACGATACACACGAACACGATAAAAAGATATGGGCAAATTTCGATTTTCGCGAAAACTTGTTAGTACCTAAATTTACCTTAATTTTCAACTTTGTCTTACAGCACAAATAAAGGAATAATTCCAAAAAATAAAAAAAGTTGAAAATTAAGATAAATTTTGGTACTTACAAATTTTCGCGAAAATCTACGTAAAATCTGGGTAGGTATGGAACCCTCGGCGCACGAGTTCCACTAATGTTCTTTAAACGGAGTATCGTAAATGTACTATTACTAAGGAACAGAAAATAACTCAAATGCAAGCAGTGAGCAATATCTAGTTTTTTTATTTATTTTGATATTATTGCTTATTAATTTCAGGTGACATACATTTAGAGATGTTAGCACCGATGAACCCCACAAATCGACCGAGATCGTCGTGTGAAATACCCAGATTATCTAATAATAACAAGTGAGTATGCAAACTGCTTTAAAATGAACATAATAATTGCAACTAACTTTAGATTTTAAATTTCGATTACTTTATTATTTATACTGTAGAAGTCTATAATGATTTCATATGCCAATAAAAAAAAAACCGGAGCCTTTGCATGATCACTCATGATGACTCGTTATCAACTGTCTTGCTAACGGTTACAGCCGAGATACTCAGAATATACTGGCACGATTAAGTTGAAGTTTAGTACATATATTCATACCTGTATTAGTTTTTTTTAATTAAGTTTCATATATGTTCAATATGGGTAAACAAACTTTGTATGTTCAGTCACTTTTTGGGGCAATCACAAATATGTAAACATATATAATATATTTATTAAAATTTTAAAATAAGAAAAGATTTATTTAAAAAAAGAGAGGCCCATCTCGCAAAAATATTAATCGTTGTGAAAACCTACATATTTTTTATCTACATATAATTTATAGAAAACCTTTATTAAGTTTTTCGTATTATGAATTGTAATTTTCTTGAAATATTAATTTAGTTAAGGTACGAAAACTAACAAATATAGTTTTCTGACCTTAAATATCCAAAACACAAAGCAAGTTATATTACGTTGTAATAAAATCTTTATTCGTTATATTATTAAGGCACAAGAATTAAACTCGTGTATCTAAACGTGACTGTATATAGTTAAACATAACAATGAATCATCATAAAGTAAAACGTACATAATTATGATGTTATGGTTACTCTATAATGTACAACGTCGCAATAAAATTTGAGCGGGAAAAAATAAGACCAAGCCCTGATAAAAAATGTCCTACATTAAATGTGTACATAAAAAAACACTTACACCTCGTTCCGATCCGGAGTAGGCAGAGCGTTAGAACGCCATTTTCTGCGATCCTGACTTACACCTCGCTCCTCTGCCACATTTATTTGGCCTTTCATGTAATGTGTGTAATTGTATTGTATTCATTGTTTTCACGTGCAAATACTGCTTATACAAGTAGTTTTTGAAATCAAAGTTATTTGCAGTAAAACGTCAAGAGCATAACTAAATTACATATCGGTACCCTAACTAGCATTCAATACTTAACTATTACTTTTCTGTGTGTCTTTGGTCGTGATAAACAGTTATATTATTATATTACTCACTTATGTAAGTTCTCATATTTTAGGGTAAAAAAGTGGATCCTTCAAATGGCTTAGTGCTGCAAGTCTTTTTATATAGAAATTTTGTTCTGTCATTCAAAGGTAACTTGAAAATTCTCCAATAAAGTTAAAATTTTATATCAGTAGTTAAACTAGGAAAACGCTTGTCAAACAATTCTACTAAGAAGTTTTATTTATGGCTAATAAAACCACTTAAAGTTTCAAGTCTCTCTTGAAATATGATCACATCTATCTGTGACACCGTGCATTATATACATGATACAATTGTATATCTCTATTTAAAAGCATATTATCGAGTTTTCTATAATATTGAAGTTTTTAAAGTATTTTAAATATTATTTACTTTCAGACTAACCTCTTGGTACCTATTATTGTTTGTACAGTGTATACAAGAGCGGAGGAGACGGCGGGGGCGGTGACGGCGGTGGAGGTGGAGACGGGGGTGGTGGCGGCGGCGGAGGAACAGGGGGGACGGGAGGTCTGGGGTGCGGCGACCTGCAGGTGCCGGGAGGTTCGCTTCCCGACCTCACCTCTGTCCACTTCCCTTCACCGCATTACCTACCGCACCGGACCTCGCCTGAATATCAGCTTCGATATGTACGTAAATATTTTTACTGTCGACTCCATATCGCATCTTCAAATCGATGGCTTATACAGAAGTCGAATGCATTTTATGTTTATAGAATTTTGTTAGGTAGATTTTACATAAATAATCTTGTGGAGTATCAACAGAATTACAAGGAAATTGAGATGGATTTAGCTAAGTATAGAGGAAACAATATACCTGAATTTAATTTCAAAAGTACTTTGAGTGCATATGCTTTTTACGGTTGTAGCATTGACGTTTGAGATATAATTGTCGATGTAGGAATCATATAATGAAGCCTCGCAACGCGTACAGTAATACACGATAATAGTATCGAGATATGAAGCGGGTGGGAATATAGTGGAGGAGGGTAGTAGTGAGTGTGTGTGGTGCGCAGTCGCCGACGTCGCCGGGCGCGGTGTCGCCGGGCGGCGGCAGCGTGTCGCCGGCGACGGGCGGCCTCTCGCCCGCGTCCGGCTCGCCCGTGGGCGCCACCGTGCCGCTGCACCACACCATGCACCACGACCACCAAGCGCCTCTCTACGATGCACAGGTCTGTGGACACCCCACCCCCGCTCTCACCGCACACCGTATTGCCCGTACGACCTACTGTATTAGTTTTGCACGATGCGATTTTAGAAGTGAAGAGTTTTAGTTGGCTGTTGTTTAGTCATCGAAATTTTAGAAAGGCGATATTTTCTACCCCTATTCCCTTACCGAATGCCTAGTATGAGTTTCTTTCGCATCTAATCCATCGTTTCGGTGACCGCGTTAGCCGTTGCGATCGGCCCGTTTGGAGGACTTAGTGTAAGTTTATTTCACATCAACTCTATCGCTGTGACCGCTTTTGGCGTTGCGATTGGCTCACGCTAAAATCTTCACCGATCGCAACGCCGAACGTGCTCGCCGTCGTGTGCGAGTTGATGTGAAATAGACTCACACTAAGACCACTAAGAATCTTCAACGATGACAACGCCGAAGTTGATGTGAAATAAGCTCACACTAGGCTATCTAGTCTTTAATTAATTTTTTTTGAAGATTGCTTGTGTAATTAACCTTTGGAACGTTTTCGTTTTGAACTGTAAACGATATGAAGTTTCAATCGTCTTAGCTATTGTATCGGTAATGAAAATCAAATTAAAAGCGTTTTAATTACGTTTATCGGTCATCCTTATGCAAGAATTTATGAGTCTGTCTAACCATGTAGTATTGTGTAGCATAAATGGCGTAGTTTCCTTACCTGAATGGATGTAGTGATGCATCATGTAGATGGCTATTGGATTATTATTAATTTACTTATTGTCTACTGAATCATAATTCACAAACTATTAGCTTATAGTCGTAAAAGTGTGCACTTGCGGTCCGAAAATGTTTACTACTAAAGTTGTAATGCCAGGTCGGACTTGCCTTTTGATCGTCACACACGTCAAAATATGTATTAATACAACAGGGTTTACAAAAATGTTCGGTCATATTTTATTAATAATAATTGTTTAAATTTGTGATTTTAAAAATCACATGTACAAAAACATATGTTAAACGATAATAGGCAAAAAAGACAAAAAAATATGACGAATTTGATGATTGACCAACAAAAATTTAATTTACGTAATACAACTTATAAGATACAGAAGAAGCTTACATGAATCAAAGGTGTTTTTTTAATTTTAAACATTTGTTTAAACATGATCTGACCGCGACTGTACCCACAATATACCTAATACCAATATAATACTGGCTTTGAAAACGATAGTATGTTACCAGTGAGCACTTACATATATTTTCCGATACCTATCGGACCTTTAACAATTTTGTTGTTTTTGTTATGTTTGTGTTTTTTTTTTTTTGCTTTCTACACAAATCATTTTTTGTTTATTTCAGAATCACTTATCTGTACCAAACACAAATAATTATCTTCATCATAATAAGGTTCGTTTTCTTTTATAACCTCCTCAAAATTTATTCCCGCTCATGAAATTTTACAGGCGGTCGCTTAATGCTTTAACGCTGTCTATTGTTGGTGCCAATATTTTTGATTATCCGCTAACAGAGCTGAGTCTCGAGCAATATTTTACGTTATATCTGCTCTTGACTTCGGGGCGGATACATTTTCTCTTAAATCATCACATTGGTGCTTTGATCAATGCATGAATCGCTGTTAATTTGTTTTCAGCTAACCATTTAACATTAAATTAATCCTTATTACGGCACTATCGAAATGTTTTCATTTTGAGAGTACGTTATTAAATGCCTCAATTAACATTTAAAAATTATAGGTATTTTGTTCATAATTTAATAATAAATATAATAATTAATTTAATCATAATTATATAATTAATAATATTAATAATAATTAATATTATTAATAATTCATAATTTAATAATTAATAATAAGAAGAGAGCATACAAAAGCTCATAATACACAATAGTGTATGTAATAACCGTTTACTGCAACAGGTAACGGCGAGAACGGAAAAGTAGACAACATTTCGAATGCATTTCCGTTAATATATATATGTACTTCACAAAATTGTTTAATTAAATGTCAGCTCGTGCACGTAACTACGTCCGAAACTAACATATTAGTATATAACACACCACAACAACCCTTGTTCAGAGAGGGTTAGTCTACCATCAACAGTCCTCACTTTGGTTTTCTTCATTATTTTTCCTGTCAAACATGACTAAGTTTGACGCCCCGTATTTTAAAAGAACAATTATAAAATCGACAATTTTTTTGAACATTTTTTCGCATCGATAAGTTTACAGTAGAATTTCAGTCAGACAAGAGTATTCCATAAGTTAAGTAACATGTTAAGTTTTGTACAAAGTGATTCTGCTACTATGTTCTTACTGTTCTGTTCGTAAATGTATGTATGTTATAGGACCAGCTTATTGTACATATCTTCAGAGTCTTATTTAAGAGAATCGAGTGATAATTATTCCCTTTGGTGCAGTTCATTCCTCCAATATTTATTATTAGATTATTGTGAACTAATAGGGCATTAATAAATCATTTAGAACGCTATACTATAAATCGAGATGTAGTTCTTAAAATCAGAAAAATAAATCTATCACACAGGGTTGTAGTGTGATGATATATAGCCTATAATGAAAGACTAATAAATATTTGTGGACCATAGTGACCAGTAGATATAAGTATTTTTAAATAATTTTACTGTGATTTGTTACGAAGTGTCACATTAGAAAACGATGTTAGGAAGCTTAATCATTATTTTATGTTATTGAACCTTGCATGCATTCATCTTTTAACATACTTACACTAACTGTAAGTGCAGTCACACCTCAGAGGTACATACACTTTTACTTGATTCCTATTGGTTTTAATTGTTAGTGGTGATCTTGTACCCTGAAGGGGTGAAGGACTGGACAGAAGTATATAAAACACCTGCTATAATTTGGTCCAGTCACGTAATAGAGAAGAAGACCATTGCAGTTAACCGGGAAACCATTTTGGGAAAAAAAATATGAAAATTTGGGAAGTGAAACATGGCAGTATGAAAAGTATACTGAACTAAAATTAGGCATGAAAGGAATCTATGGAAGAGAAGAAAATTGCTACAGATGAATTGGGGAGTGTAAGCAATAGCTTGAGTACGTCAGGTTCCAAGTACCTGTTACTAATTCGAACTGGCTGTTTCCCAGAAGTCTGAACCCTTCAACAAATATTATTATAGTTTAAATTTCCGTAGTTTTTTAAAATAAAATCAGAATATGATTTTTTTTAATGTATTAGTTAATTACATTTTTCGACATATCACTAAAAAATTTGAAAAATTGCATCAGCAAAATATTTTCTTACCATTTATTATATTTGCATTTAATTCATCTTATTTTTTATTACTAACTTTATAACTATTCTGCAAACTGCATGTGGAATGTGGCTTCAAGCTAAAAGCAGTGTGATAGGTCCTAATATTTTTGGTTTTCTTGCCAACTAATAATGGTGGCGGTTCACTGGTCTAGATGGGTGTATTGTGCGGATAATATAAGTGGTTCCTGGACCTTGATAAAAAAAAAAAGTTTCTCAGACTACATCGCCGTCTAACAACGAGCGAACGAATATTGTATTCACTTAAAGCTAGATTAGATTTTTAAAACAAACCCTTTTCTTGATAGTCATTCTTTTTACTTAAATGTTGCACTAATGTAAAATAGGTCTGAAGACATTTGAAATTAAAAATTCTAAAAACGTCAACTAATCTATTGTTGTGAGCTCAATTAGGTCCCACAACAACGAGTTATAGAAGGTTTAAGATTGATTGTACTGTTTAAATATTTTTAGAGTTTATTGTTAAGCATTAATAAGCTCTCGAGATTTATTTAATTATAATTTATATTGCTATGTGAATTTATGATTTAATCTTCTAACAGACGAACAAATGGCCCACTTAAAAAATGGTCTATCAAATTTGCGTAATCGACATAGTAATCTCTTTGAACTATTGAGTTGATTTTTATTCTTTCAAAATGTATATTATTAATATATAATAATTTTGTATACAATTGTTAAATAAATACAGTTTTATAAATGATATTTATTTCTGCAAGTAAATAAATCTGTTAGTCCCTGACTAATGTACCGCTGCCTTAAAATATGCCAAAGCCTTTTTTTTCGCTTTTTCATCTATTCTTATTCTCGTCACACTGTTTTCGCACTGCCTAATGAGCTCAGAATTACGTATATTTCTGAAAAATAATGTTTTACTGGTTACAGAATATGTCACCTCTAGACCATGGATGGGCATCAAGTTACCAGGCGCATTGTAGTCCGCCTTCACAATATTCTTCTACATCAAACATTAATATGCCTTCACCAACGGTACGTATAATTTTTTGGAAGTAGTTTACACAGAAAATGCTTTTCATTTAAGTCATTGTTGTGCTTTAATATAATAAAGAATCTGTGACACATTTTTAGCCATTTGATTGGTTGACATTATGCACTGTTTCATGTTGTTAACTAATTAACAATACCAAAGATCGTCTGGTGGTCGAATTTCGACAGTTTTGAATGTCTTGTCTTATTTTATTTATCAAACTTTCTCAACGTTTTCACAGATGATCCACAGTCCAGGTAGTCCCGTGGAATCACCACAATCAGACTACAACAATTTTCACCAAGCGCTATTACAACCTTTCGAGCAGATCACAATGGTGAGTTACTCTTTAAAATATTCCTAAATTTTGAACTGTCGTTCACTAGTGTAAAACGACGTATGTATAAAATTTATTAATGCAATGACTTGCGTAAATATTACATACCAGCGGTAAATTGCTGTTTCGATGCCTGTTCAAACCATTTTGTTAATTCTCGTAAACATATATATCTAATAGACTAAATAATCGCATTACGAATTATTAATGGTCAACTTTAGTGCTGACAAAATATATAGTAGTATGTATCTAGCCACACAGAAAGTTTTGCGAAATAAAAAAATTGAAAAAAAAACCCCGACACACATCTTGGATTTGAAATTTGTCATCTTGTATGGAATTTTACTAGTCAAGCGCTTTCATTTGATACCCATATTGGGGGAGTTGTGAAAAAATAGGTAATCGCCTTTTTGTGGCAGCGGCCATCTTGGACCGGTTTTCATCAAACATAGCTAAGAATACTCACTACTAATTCGCCTTTCAAACAAAAAAAAAACAAAATCAACGATAACACCCCGTCGTTTTTCGTGGGAGGTTAAAAATAAGTTCATTTATCAGAAGAAATACAAAATTTGCAACTTTAAATAAAATATGCCTCACTGAAAACAGAGATCACTCACTAACACCTCAAGAGTATTTCCGCACGATGATAATAATATAATCAATACGATTTTAAATGTGGTCTTAAACTGGAATAATCGTTTAAAACACTTCAAAATGCATTTGTAGACGAAGGTCCTCTAAGGCTGCTAACCATTTTTTCAGCTATAATATAGCGAGGTCGGCAAACTTGGGCCGACGAAGAAAGACCTGATGGCCCTTGTTATGGAAGAAAAAGTGTAGAAATTTGATATTGTCATTGAAGAAAATTAGAGATATTAAAATAATTTCAGTTTATATTGAAGATTAGTTCAGGAAGGGTTTGCAAGGCTTTTTTTACGAGCACCTCCGCTTGAGGAGCGTAGTTTTGCGCCGGGTACCTCACAACCTCACCGATATGTGGAAAACCAGACTCATATCAAAAGGTGCCATGACACGTTATGTAACTATGGTGCAGGCTTGTTGAGTCTCGTTTACGGCATTATGACAGGTGATGAATCTTGGATTTATCAATACGATTCAGAAACAACGCCAGCAGGAGTTTCACTGTTTCAATATAAAACACTGTTGTGATGCAGAAGCGCAGAAAACATTTTGATTACTAGTTTTTTCACTATGACAATGCCTATATCTTGTTTCTATACCAGACGTGTTCTCTGCTTCACTGCTGTCAGCAGAGCACGATCAAATACGCGGGTTGATTCTTTGCCACGATAACGCGCCCGCGAACTCACAACTGTGACTTGGCAGCGGGTACTTCTTTCTTAAAATAAAGAAAGTAAGAAATACAGTTTTCATCGGCGAAAGAAGTACAGTGGAGGAAACGAAAATTTGCATAAAGTGAGGTGTAGAGTTATTTAAACACATAAAAAAATGGCTGCAATACATTTTTTAGGTTTCGTAAAACTTACTGAGTATCCCACTAGCGTTAAGGCAATAAAAAGTAACACTAAAATATCAACATAAATAGTAAGTTAGGCTGTCAAATTTTATAGCTGTAATACGAAAATCTCACTACGAAACTTTACACGACACGTTGTGCATTTCGCATTTAATCGGTTTCGGTGCCTTTTTCTAAAATAATAATATATAAACAATTTTGTTGCGTATTTTCGATCTCGCCAGAACTATGTTCAGCCTAAACTGAAGTTTTTTACTTGATATACTGTTACAAAAACGTGTTAATACAGTTACATTCACATACGCAGCAGAGGAGGAGAAAAATAAGCATTTGAGGTGGTTAGAGTCGTTCGTTCAGCGGAATAAAGTTACATAAAATGGCATTAAAAACCATAGTACAAATATGACTTTGATCCTAGTTGCCCTTCCGCTTTTGCATTATTACAAGGAAATACATTAACAGTAACCACCGAACAAAAAAATACAAAGTACCTGTAAAACTTGTGTAATTGGAGTAACAATAATCTATTTATACTTTTGCCTCAATGGAACAGCAAGGACTTGTAAGTAAACCAACAAAATAAGTAACATTATAAACTATTACTATAAACCATAGTGAAGTATTAGGAAAGATCAGTACAGGTTAATTAAGCCTAGGATCAAATATTGGCACCTATATATATGAGAAATTAAGTATTTAATATTCACTATAAAATAAAGATGCACTTCATCAGTCATCGAATTAAAGTCTGCAGTCAGCACTAATAGAAATATAACTAATTTGAATTATTATATATGAATGTGTTTCAGAAATGAGTATACTAGACAAGTTTTTAGTATCCAATACTATTTAAAAAATGTAGTCTGGTATGCTCAAAGGTGTTGCGGTAGTAATAGGTTATTGTCTGTCAAAAATAATAGAAATGTGATTAAGAGTTTGCTAAAACGAATGTGTAAAAAAGTGCAGTATTTTATGCAAGGTTGCCACGCAAAAGCAATGTTTGTTTTCTGTTATGCATTCAGCTTCGCAAAAGTGACTACTGTAAAAAAAAATAACTTTTAAACATTTATTTAAATCTCGATGTTTAATTTTAATTGCTTAGCTGCCAGACACAAAATTTTATTAAAAAAAGAACGTTTAATAAGAACTGGGCTATTACAATAAATAAATGTAAATGTTTGACAGACATTAACGTAACATGTAACTGTGATAGTGTATACGTAAATATGTGTAACATTGGTGGATGTTGGCCAAGGACTGGGCGCAGCTGGTGCAGAGCCTCGTGGAGTCAGGCTGGACCGCTCACGTCCAAGTTGCAGAAAATGTACGACACATACCCCTCACACACGCATCTTAAAATTTATATAGCGCTCTTATGATTTTTAAACGGGGTACATGATTTGGCATTGTGTTTATGTATATATGCATATTTAGATTAAAAAAGAAATAATGAGCAATCTTAAACCAGTTTAAAGTAATATTTTGTACGGTATCAACGGTACTTGTTCCTTTAACAAAATTTTATTTTTCTCTAAATACAACTGTCAAATCGTATACCTTACGCTAGGAATGCCCGATCTGACCTTATCCTGTTGAAGATCGATCCTTTGCAATGGGATCTTCGATTTTCGATGGAATCGATTTTCTTTAACTAGTTCAAATCGCTTTCTTTAGATCGGATGAAACGGCTAGTTATATATCCAAACAAAATGCAATTTTACTAGTAAGCTACTAAAGGGTAGGTATTGTTTTATTTACATTTTATTTACTTATTTACATTACAAACATGTAGGGGAAAAAAATTACTTCACGGCGGTCTCTTATATACCTACCTGTTAATCTCCTTAATTATTTTTTAATTTGTATGAAAAAGGCAGGTTTCAATTTTTATATAAAAAAAGTGAATTGTTTGGATGTTTATTTACAAACAAAACTTGTGGCATATGCAAACTGTACCAAGTTAAAACAAACGAAATACCAAACCCAACAAATCAATAACAGTGATAAAATTACGACACATGTATTAATTTAAACAAAAGTGAGTTAAACTAACGTGGATTTAGTAGTTAATTTAGTTCTGTGTCTATATTTATGCTGATAATTGGTTTGTATATAATTACGAGGCTTTGCGGTGGACTGACTTTTCGAAATAAATTAAAGACAAAATCTTGTTACACTTCCTTTAATATAATAATATATATAATATAATATATAATAATATAATATAATATATTCTACCACATACACACAACGCCATCTAGTCCCAAACTAAGCAGAGCTTGTACTATGGGTACTAGACAACTGATATAAATACATATATACTTTTTTTTTTTGTAAATACATACATATTATACATGATAATGATACGATCTTTGAAAGATCAATTCGCTGGAATTCGATTCAGATCGCTAATCAATTCAATGGTAATGTAACAATCGATTCAATTAAAAAGATCGGGCATCCTTACTTCACGCTGATTCAATATTCGATTTTAAATTCGTGTCGTTACACTTGTTACCACAGATAATATCTTAGCGCACGTTATCATTTAAAGTTCTTGCCTTTACAATAAGCGCCGAGTTATTTTCACATTTCAGTTTACTACCATGTCATGCCATAAACAAAGGAAATGAAAATAATAGTTGAATTTGTTTTGCACGAAAATGTGAAAATCTCTGTCCTTGAAAATTTCTTAGTGAAATTTTATCGTAATTAAAATATATAGTAATGTGAACATTCATTTCCTTTAAGCAGACCAATAGCACTATATTTTTTTCTTTTAAATCTTATCTCTGTTATTGTTGTAGTCAGTTTTATTTATTAATAATAATAAAAATATAGTACTATTGAGGCTGTAACATCTTGGTGTTACATGTAAATAAACAATATTAAAATGTATAAATTTACATAGGCATGCTCAACAGATGTACAATGTTGCATTTACCTACAAACAAACAGTAGAGATGTTTGAAATAATGTAGTGGGTTGTAGAAATATTAATTTTGACATCTTTTTAAAGGATCAGTTTAAATTTGCTATGCATTTAAAATGTATGCCATTTTAATATGTCGTATGGCAGGTTTACAATTATTATAAGCATGATTATCGCACATTTATCCTGTTACATTCAACGCACATAATTCTTTTGAGTTAACGTTAAGCAAGATACACGATGTGAAGTTTCAAGTTAAAAATGACATAGACACATTCTATAAAGACTAAAAGTAGTGTCAAATTTAACAACTAACTTGCTATAATTTATTTTTTATGATTATCAAGGTGTATCACATTAAATTACAACGCGTCACACTCCGATGCATTATGTGTGTAGTGTTATTATTAGTAAGTAAGAACTTTGAATAGTTATGATTTTTATTAAGTCCTTGTGTAATATAATCAGTGTTTTATTTTCATATGTTGTTAATTGGCTGTATCGCTTCAGTTTTATTATCTTTAGAGATTTATATCGAATTTATATCGAATTACTTAAATCTAATATTGCGATAGACATAGCAACTTCGTGTATTTTTTTTCAGAATTTGCTGAATTTTTTTCATTGTTTTTTTTTCTCTCGCTTGCCATTGGGCTAATATTATATAAAGAGCAAGGTTTTAATGTGTATGTTTCTATTCCACCAGCTGGATCAACCAGTGCAGAATTACAATACGTCGTATATGAACCACGGGTCACCGCACTCACCACAGACTAATAATTCATCACTCTCATATCCCCAGGTTAGTTCTCACACTTTGCAACTCTTTGTCTGTTAGAGTTAAGACCGAGATATGTGACACATTCAATAAAAAAATATCCTTTATATTCGCAAAACCACTGACCTACATTTCTCAGATTCGACACAAAATGTGGCTGTTAAATTATGGGAATAACATAGTCAATATAGACAATCTAAAAATCAGAACTACATTATACATATTTTGGTTCGAATAATAATTCTATAAACTTTTATTTGTGAGTAATGAGCAATATTATAATACTAATCGCAAATTATGTAAGTCGATTGTTACATTAAATTAATAAATTAAAAGCTTCAGTTGCAATGATTGAATCTATGTCCAAGGCTAAAAGTGAAATAATGTTACTTATTCACAGTCAACGCAAGCGAGCGGCGTAAGCGGTTGTCGTGGTCGCGACCCTGTCCCTGGCGGAGGGGGGTTTGCTGCGTTGCAACCGCTCGCCTCACCGTCCACGCCCGCCACGCCCGCTAGTATACCAGATATCGTTCTCACTGGTAAACATAATACTCATAACTGCAAAATACTCTGAATTAAAGGTATCGTGCGTGTAGATGCTGAAAAAAGAGCTATCGATCTGACCTTCAATTCTTTCGTTGAGAAAAGTGCACGCTCAACATGACCTAAATAAATACTTTAAAGATTGCTAATAATTGTGTGAAAACATATGTGTGAATGCAAGTGCTTTATTTGTACAGAAATAATGCTGCTCATTGTTTTGTAACATTAGTGTATAAAGTGTGGTTCGGTCGTCAGATTACTCGGGCGAGCTGGACGCGGGCATCTTCGGCGGCGAGGAGGCACAGCTACGCGCGGGCCTGGACCTGGACGACCTCACGCTGCTGGAGGACCCCACGGCGCTCGTGCCCGACTCCGCCGTCGAGCACGAGTTCCGCCTCGACCGCCTCGACCGCTTGTAGTACACGGCCCGCTCTACCATTCCACGCTAATTGATAGCGATCAGTTCACTCAGGGAGTGTTCCGCCGCGTTTTGAGCATATGTACGTTTATTATCGATTAAAATGAGTAGTGTTAAATTAGTACTAAAAGTTCTAATTCCGAGTCGGTCTACTCCGAACCCTAGGCGTGTAAATAGCAATATTACAGATATTCCTCTACTTCGGTGAACGATACCCGTCTTCTAGTAGATACGCTCTGTCGCGGGCCGACGGGCGTGATAAGAATAGAGACCCTATTTTCCCAGGATAGACTGTAAAAAATCATCGTCTGAGACTATTTAAATCATTTTAACATCCATATGCTCAGAATATAACGTACGATATCGAGGAGCCGTGTGCGTAGTGAGCCGTGACGATAGTGGCCAGAAGTGGCGAGTTGTGAAGTGCTCGGTGGCGAGCGGTGACGAGTGGGCGGACTCGTGTGACACATTCCCGTACCGTGCCGAGTGAAAGTGTTCATTGTGGTTTAAGCGTTTTACTCATGTTTCTTATTTGAGGGGGTAGGTAAAGTAGAATTTTTATTCGTAATCGATTTATAGACGATTACTGTACAGACCGAGGTGATTATTTTAATTAGTATTGTGAATATTTACTCGAATATTTGAAATCGATTCGGATTTAATAAGAATTTTTTTATCATTACTGTTCTATGTCGATTATTTGTACATAAAACTAAAAGTGTTCACTTTAGTAAAATTGCATTTAAATCGCTAATGTTGCATGCTAGAATAACTACGAGTCCTCGGTTGCGTCGTTAGACGAATTGTTGACGTGATTTTAAAATCTACTTAAAGCACCTTATCGAAATATTATAGATGTATACTTATTGTCATTCAACGATTGCTCAAGCGTTGACTGAATTTTCATCCTTTATCTTTAACGGTCTAGTCGTGAACAGTTCAAGTTCCATTTCGCAACACGCGACATATGTATTCGTATCGCACGAATTTTTTCCACGTTATATAGCATGCTTACATGGTGTCCCAATTCCTTTCTTACTTTAGTACTCTAATAGTAACAATTTAGGCCACTGTAAATATCGGTAAAGCTCTTATTGAGCTTTTTACTAAGCTTCTGTCGCAAACATATCTATGTACGTGCATGTGAGTGTGGTTGAGAGGCTCGCCGACTTGTATACAGCGATTAGTCTGTGAGTTTTTAAATCTTTAATATCGTTGGTCTCATGTGGGATTATGGAGGGGCTTGCAATGTAAAGATATAGTTTTTACTACGCGCCCCCTGACACACAATATTTGTTTGCAAAACCATAGAATGTTTCCGACGGTTACTCAATGCTAGATCATATCATTGTTCTGAGTTTATAGAACAGTAACTATCTGAAGTAAAACTTTAAATAGTTATTAAGTTTTTAATATATTTAGTTGTTAAAGTAACGATGTACTCGTAATATTAATTTTGTGTGTGAACCCTTTCTCTCTGCGAATTTATAATTACATATTATCTATTTTTTAATAAACTTGACATAAAACTAATAGATTTTATAAGTAATATTACGAGTACACTGACATACAAGTAGACATGTGTTTTTCTGTTTTGTAAATGCTCATTATATTATGTTTTAAGAGTCTAGTCATCAAATTATGTTCAAGAACTTTTGACAGTTTTCATACAAATCAGTTTGTGTACAGTTTTCATTCCATTACAATTATGAAACATTTGGATACTGAACGAGCTGTACCGCGGACGTGTGTCTCGCTATTATTCGTTTACAAAAGTCATATCTATAGCGACATTATATGTGTTGTATATCTTTGTTTTGTGTACGGTGTACACATTCTACGATTGTTCGTGTTGTTATGATTTTAAAGTTTAATTTTAAAATCCGCCATAGAAGTATGTACTGTATGACAGATTATATACTTGTACTGTATAAATAGTTAATGTACGATAATTGTGATAAACGCAAATAGCACAACATAATTCATTATGAAGCCTAATCTGACGTTAAAGTAAGTTACTTTTTTCTTATTAAAGTTTAAATAGTGTTTTCTAAATTTAGATACATTATGTACATGTTATACATATGAGCTAGTGTCTGCCAAATGCAGAAGTTTACGAATACCGGTCAGGTTTGATCGTGAGTCTGAGTCTGGTGCAATATGGTGTATTTTGTTGTTGATGACGATGTACTGTCAATCGTTACCCTCGTGTATCGTTTAGTTCGTTCTATTTGAAAAGTACAAAGGCAAAATTGTGTGTTTTCTGCGACTGTGCGTGATGATGTGATGTGTCTAACAGAAGTGGGCCGGGGTGAGGTTCTATTCTGTTGCCATGTTGCATTTCAAGTGTACTCATAGTTATAAATCTGTTGGATTTTTTTACCTTTTGCATTTTGGAGTTAAGTTACGAATAGTGATAAGATAATGTATGTGTAGTTATGAGAAACGCTTTCGATTCGCTCGAAAGTAACGAGACACCAATATGTGTGAACGAGTATTTCTACAATTCTTAAATCATACGACATTTAATTATAGGACATATTATATGTTTTTTTTTTCTCAAATATGCACAAACTTAATGAAGATTTTGCGGTAAAATGTTTCAAAGGTTTGTTTTATTTAAACCAAATGTACATAAGTGTGATAGAGATGAAACAGTCTCATTTAAAATAAAGTTGTTGTAAGTATGTGACTATTTTTCATGACAACCCTGAATCTAAGTATAAAAATAAAATGCTTTTGGCCTCTTCTATAAATCCTGCTTTATAAAATTAGGGCTTGCGTATAAAGCAATTACAACGAGTCTTGTCTTGAGAAAATGTGTAAATCTTATTTTATTTACTAAAACTCACAAGTAATAAGACAAAACCCGTTGTATAATAATCATCAAACAACATCCATAGCGATTTGAGCATCAGGCTATTTATACAAGGTGTAATGTACGGCGGTCTAAAACTTGTACTGTTTATTTTCTTCCTGTAATTATTTATCAGGACGCAAACATTACAAAAAGTAGATGAAGCATTTACCCCTTAACTGTTTCTTATTCGTAAAATTAGATTTCCACGATTGAATATACTTACTAACTAAATCTGTTGTAATTACAGTACGTAAATGTAAAAATACATTTAATCATAACTTTTTCCTTTCATGAATCTGTCATCGCTAAGACGAAAGGAATGTTTCTAAACGAGCCAATGAGTTGAAAACAGTAGTGAACACGATAGTTTTGATATGTAAACCAGCGTAGAGAACGGTACGGTACAGTCACAGTTGTCTATTTTAAACTAATGCACTGTCTTTGTATAAATTACCCCGCCTCCACCTGCAATATAGAGTCACCATTGCCACAAAGAGGTCCTGAATCCGCTAATTTACATACTCCAAAGTGTACTTGCCGAATCACTACCAAGTCCCCAAAAACTAAAGAAGTGCTACCACTGATTTAGAGTACTGTGCTCATATATTCTAACGGTTAGAGATTATTAGACTAGCGTATATTAATTAAGTTTATGCTTTATCCAGATAGCTAGAAACTAATTCACTTTTTTCTTTTGATAGTTTGCGGTGGACATAATACTCGTAGTTATAATGCCCTGCTTTTTGCTGAATTTGTTTTAATTTGACCATTAATTCTAATAAGCAAAGAGTTACACCACGACACTCCGTCCTTGTCCGTGTGGCGACGGATTAATAATACGAGTTGTCGCCATCCCTATTCATCCCGTGGGTGTCGTAAGAGCCGACTAAGGAGTAAACTTCGCAGGACAACGAGAAGGCAAACTTGAAACAGACCCTAAACCAACCCGTCTGGCCAGCGTGGTATAGTAGGCCAAAACTTCCTTTCTAAGGAGAGGCCTATGTCCAGCAGTGGACTATTGGAGGCTGTTGATGTGATGACTTCTATGAAGCGGTTAATTTTCTTTAGTCTGTAGTTTGTTGTCAATATCCACCTTTGGCTGCAATATTGCTACCAATTACAGTCGGACTATATCATAGAGCTATCACAATATCTGATTTCGGCTGCATGACTATGTAGCCGCACATTTTCAGTATTCAATTCTCGCTCTTGGGCAATTGTATGACAATTCAAAAATAGAAATTGCGCGGCCTACTTTGATCTGAAGGTTGCCGTAAGTGGACATCGCACCGTTAATGCACCTTAGTGATGTCATTCGCGGTCTCTTTGAAAGTTATCATAGAGGTTTCTCAAAAGCAAACCTTTGTCAAAAACAAAATGTCTAATACAATACTGGCTACAAATAAAAGAAATAGTATTGAAATTCAAATTTTTGCGCCCACTTGTCATATATCAGATTTTTTGAAGTTTTGTGGTGATTGCAAATATGCATTCTTGGTACTTATTGCTGTTAATAGTATGTTTTACAAAATACGTTATAGGCAGGCCCCAAGAAGCGGAATATGCTAATGATAGGTAAGGTGACCATATATTATTTCTTAACTTAGACAAATAAAACATTATTGCAGTTTACAAGATTTGAGAAGCCATAATAAACAGTTTTTTTAAGTATCAAACAGGTACTGCTATTAAACATGTTTAAAATTATCTTCTTAATCAGATAATTCATACAACGTTGTATAGTAGGTATGTGAAAATCGTTTTTTTAATGCTGTTGTAAATGTGTCTAGGAAAACTTTAGATAGACAAATATCAGCATAATTGGTTTAAAAACGATGTTTACTGGACAACACGTGATAATCATATGGGTGCCTGTTAACGGGAATATAATATAACTGTTTTTCAGTTTTCTGACACGTAGATATGTGTCTTAGTGTGTTAGTGTAATTTAAATTGCCCATTATATCTGTCTGTCTGATGTTCTTAGTGATGTTGAGGAAACAGACGAAGAAGAAGACTCCGCAGCAGATGCATACTCAGCTGACGAGGAGGATTCTCGTCCGAACGACCAAGTGAGTTTTACACCATATAGATTTTTACTACAAAATAAACCTCAATATGTACATGTCGACGTACTATATATTTAGCCGATATGAAGAAATAACGCAAGTATCAGTAATTACTTGAAAAGTAGAATGCCAAACAAATTTTTGCTTCTTTTTGTGTCTATAGTTTAGTTTGTTATGAAAATATTATATAAAATAATATAAGTAATAAAAATGTGATAGTTCTTAAAACCTGTTCACGATGGCAGCTACGAGTATATCTCGTAACTTAGGTCAAAAAAGAAATGAAATGACGACTTGAAGGAAGAGTATTTTCAATACAACTGTATATGTGAAAATACTATTTTCTTCAAGTCGTGTACGCTTATGTATTGTTTATGGTGTAGGGGCAGACGGGCAGATGAGTCACCTGATGGTAAATGACTATCGCTGCCCGGTTGGACCTTCGGCAACTTCACTCACTTCGGTGAAAAGCAACAATTGCTTATCACCGGTTGTCTGTGAGACCGTGGTATCGGTCCGGTCGAGCCGGCCCATATGTGGAAAAACATGTCTCGCCCACCAGCCCCGGATCTAGAGGAGGGAGGGAGGGAGGGGCAAGCGGGACACCCGCCCCAGAAGCCAGTTTCAGGGGGCGCCAAAATCATAATTTAGTATGATTAAAAATTAAAAAACCACGTGCGTGATAACTGAGGGACCATACTGGTATTTTGTTAAATAAAAGTTATGTGATTTAGTAGTAGACTTGAAACAATTGTAGAACAAATCTGGGCATTTGTAACAAAATATTTAAAAACTACAGCTCTTAAAGTGCGGTCCCTCAGTTCTCACAGATCATCAGCCAGATCTCGGAAAATATACGAAAAATTAAGATATTGTGACTACAGACATTTGGTAAAGAATTTGTAAAGATATTTACTAAATAACAGACCTCAAACCATCAAAGAAAAAAATATGTAACGACTAAACTGTGGTCCCTCATTCCGCACAAGAAAGATTAATATTTTAGTGAATATTACCAAATGAAATGAATAGATTCAATGAAGCATAATAGAACTGTTCGTTTTGTGTCATTGTGTGGTCACACAACTCTGTTTACTTTCATAGGATTAAAAAAATAGTAGTATCTCACTACTAAGGGGTAAGAAATATATATACACTTTTAAATCCCTATTATTTAGTAGAAACATTTTACAAAAAGTTAAATAAACTAGACTTTTGATATTTATCTCGTAAAGAAGCTAGTATATGTACATGTGTCAGCAGAGGTGAGGATTGAGGGACCAGTTTTAATAGTCGCTCTCCTCGAATTGCGTCAATATTTTTATTCCATTTCTTTTTTACAAAATGTTTTAAGACTTACTAAATCTTCATGTAGAAATAGAAATAATTTATTCATTTGATTTGGTAATATTCACTAAAATATTAATCTTTCTTGTGCGGAATGAGGGACCACAGTTTAGTCGTTTGAGGTCTGTTATTTAGTAAATATCTTTACAAATTCTTTACTAAATGTCTGAAATGTCTAAAACTTGTTCCACAAAGCGCCTAGCATACGGAAGCCTGGTTGGCTCACCATCGACTTACCTACATATTTGTCTGTTTTTTAAGTTATTTATCGCCACTATCAAGGTTCTGCCCCGGTTCGAAAAAATTGTAGATCCGGAGCTGTCGCCCACGGTACTACCGTATGTATAAATATAAATAATAGCCTATGGAAAATAAACATTTGTTCAGGAACCGGCTGTTCAAGAAGATGAGGTACCACGAAGTCGACATTTACTAGACTTAACGGAGAGCAGATATTTGCAAAGCAACTTACCTGGCGATCGCATAGCTCGCGTCAAGGCTACTGACACCGTAAGTATTTTTTTTAAGTTTTTATATTTAAAGAAAAATAATTTCCGCAGGATAATTTATTTATGAAAAATAAGGATTCATGCTGACAGTAAAGGTAGGTTAAATCAAAATTATTCCCAAGAATCAAAGGTGTATATTCGATACACGATACTTTCGTCATACAAAACTGATGACCATTTACGCGTTCCCGGCTTTTTTCTAACTACTGCAGTTTTCTTTCTTGACTAGCTGTATCGCCCTCCGTTTTTCTTGATTATCAGTCCAAACTGTTTTGTATTAGATTGAGTTTTTTTTTACCTCGGTAACACATTTACTAGAAAAGTTATAAATAAAATGTGTAAAAGTTGTAGGGGAGAGTGGGGGAATCACGGACGCGGGGTAATCGCGGATACGTTCGTTTGGCTATGTTAAAAAAGGATAGAAAATATTCCGAGTAATGCAATCGTGAGTCGATCCCGAACGTAGTGCCGAACAAAGAGTGGTGAAGCAACAACGCACTCGGTGTAAAAGGTATGTTAACTTTTTGTTTTTTCAACAATTTCATATTATTTTTGAGTAAAATTGAATAGATATATAATATTTTAGGTGTAACATACAAATTCGGTATTTTTTTTATGAATTAACGTCCTAATTCAAGAATGTTTCTAAGGACTTGCCGCGTGTATCACGCGATTCTAACCTAAAAAAAAAATTGTTTTGTGATAACGTGTCTGTTGGGTAATTACGGACGATTTCAGTGGGGTAACCCCGACCGTTCGTAATTACCCCTGAACAATTAAATTATTGTTTTTTATTTTTTAATTTATAGCAGTCGGCAGTCGACTGCATTGCGTTGATGATAATAATGATGAATTTTGATGAAATACATTTGAGGAAGTTTGTTTTTATGTTTCTCTGCTTTCAGCACTGTACCCTCACGAGCTTATTTATACCTACTCAAATATGTTTCAGATGCCACGAAATTACCTAAGAAAGACGGAGACCAAATACAAATTAGAAGACTAAGAAAGAGCCATTCGGGTTGTTAAGAACAAAAAACTTTCACTAGGAAAAGCAGTTTGGCCAATAGATCCAAATAAATTTGATAAACATTTTGTAGATGCATCATTACCACCTGAAAATTCCATTGTCAATTTTCAAGCTGACAAAGCGTTGACACCTGAAGTGCAGATAGCATCAACATCAAATGGCGAAGAAAGAGTAAAACCTGATTCACATATAGTATCGACATTAAATTATGTGCAGCAGAAACCAGTAACCTCTGAAGCTGTGTTAGACAATTCTATCCCACTTGAAGATATTGTTAATGTTCCCAAAATGCCACAACTAAAAAATAAACGAACTTTCAGAAAAAAAACATTCAGCTATAATAACCAGTAGTCATATGAAAAATATTTTAGAAGAAAGAAAGAAAAATAAGGAGTACATGAAAGGAAGGGAAAAGGCTGCTAGTTCCACTAAAGGTTCCAAGAAAGGTGTGAAGAATCGTCAAGCTTTTGCAGATACTGATATTAAGATAAAGGTTCAAGAAAAGGACGTACTGCGTAAGAAAAAGAAAACCAAAGAAAGAGATGCGAAAGAAAATGAGTATTTTTCCACATGAAGATTGGATAAAATGCTAGAAATGTAATTTATGGGCCCATGAAAAGTGTACGAGTGGTGAAAGTACATCAAAAGGATTTATATGTGATTTGTGTGATGATTAGATTATGTCCGTGATTACCCCACACACCGTTCGTAATTACCCCCCGTGTTGTGGGGTAATCCCGAACCCCATAGTTTTGTTTTCTTATTAATATTCGTTTCTGTATTGAAAGTTTATCTATGTTGCTTATTAGAACTTAAGGTTCATTAGTTAAAGTAAATATTAAGTAATAAATGACATTCGTAACTTAATCTGGTTTTGTTTAATTTCAATTTCCACTGATCTCTTATACTCTGATACTCTTTAAGGACATCGATTATTCCCACTTCAATTTGAACCCAATTTCTCGCCAGGTTCTAAAAAAAGCAAACCACAAAATAACTTATACATACATGGAATTCTATTATACATACCACCATACATCTATATCATATAAATATTTATATTTAAATAAATAGAATAGGTGCGGTGCAGTGCGACCCGCCATAATGTGCGCAATCCTTTAGAGTTATTTCTTCAGTGATTTTTTGTCACGATCAACCGCCCCTAATATCTGGTCGCCCTAGGCCCATGCTTACTAGGCGTTAGGAAAAATCCGCACACTGCGTATTAATCTTTATTACATAAAAATCGTAATAGCCAATACAGCCTTATAATATCTTATGTATTAATACGTAAAGTCGGACAATTTCGCTCCCTGGGTGTGTGAAATTTGAAATTTGAAATATTTCGTTTATATGTAGAAGTGCAGAAAGCAAAAAAATTTAACCTATCTTCGCTATTAATATGTGAAATGACTATTGGTTAATATTTTGATTGCAGGTTCTGGACAATAGGGGTGAAAGGAACCGAGAGCTGCACGAAGAGGCAAATTTTGACGAGCAGCGTAAATCATATCCAAAACGTCGTCAATTAAACAGATATAATGACGCTAGTGATGAACAACAAGAAATACAACAACATTTGACTAACCATGATGTCAGCAAATCCAGCCATATGCAGCCTGAAGATGAGATCCAAGCTAATAAACGTACCATAGAATTTGAAACGACTGCTAATGAGGAAGAAGGAGATATGATATTCGCCAGGAACAGGGACCAAGTAAGCTATATTAATAAAAATGAAAATACTGGCAATGACGCTCCAGATTCAGAACAACCAAGATATATTAAACAATACTATAACACAATGCAAGCGGAGAATAAAGATATGATAGCTGACAAAGCTCAGGATGGAGCGCACTTCAAATTAAGAGATAGGCGTGAAATCAAAGAAGCTAATCAATCAGATAATTCTAATTTACCAAGTACCGAAAATAAGGAAAGCAATGATAAACAGGACAGTGAAGATGAAGAATCCGCTATCAAACGACATATAAGAAAATTGTCTAAGACTGAATTAGATCAGCTTTTAAGTTCCTTGACAGAAGAGAAAAGAGAGCTGTTAAAGAAAATAATTGATGAGACTGATTCTGGTGATAATGGGTATATTAATAAAAGGGAAATAACGAAAAAAGCTGGAGCTGTTGAAGAAAATAATTATATAGAAAATTGTCAGTCAGATTTAAGTAAAGTGCAAGGTGGTAGTCCATCTCTAGAAACTAAGACTGAAATTTCTTTATCCCAAACTACAGAGACAGAAAGTAGTAAGCCGGAATCAGGATCTGATAGCTCTGAAACGACTCAAAAAATTGCAGACTTGAATTTAGCCCCTAATCAAAATGACGATGGTGTTCAGAAAACACCTGATGGTAGTTTAAATACATTTTCTTTGAATATAGACTCCAAAGATTCCGCTGACATTTTAAGTAATGTTCAAGTAACATCTAAAACGGAAAATAAAAGGGAAACTAATTTGGAAGATTTAGAAGAGGGTGACGATTCTGCGGAAAATAATAACATATCAGGCCAAGATTATTCAAATAATCAAGGATATTTTTGCTCTCAAGATGAATCCAATGTGGATGATGATCAACCTCATTTAGATAAACATTATAAACGCGAAACGTACTATGACAAACAATCAGATTTTTCTGACTCCATGAAATCTCTTGAAGAATCTTTTCCTAACTCCAATGCGTATGAGCAAGATTCAGGTTCTTACTCGGGACCTTTGGTCAGAGTAAAAAGGAAAAACTATGACCAAATTGTGAAAAAGAGAGCGGCTCGACTTCTGCCTGATGCTAAAGTTGCTTATTTTCCATACAAGGCAGAAAATGAAGACGAAGATAATGAAGAAGGCAATGAATTCGATGATGAAGGCTTTTATGATCGTACTTCTAATTTCGTCAACAGCAATAAAGCTGTAGAAGAAGAAACAGCTGACAAGGTTGAAAATTCTATTCAGCCAAAAAGTGGTAGCGCTGACAACTCCAAGTCATCAAACGAGAATATAGAGAGTGATACGAGAAGTCTCGGATCAGATACGGACAGCGTATTATCTGGCGTGGAGGGCGTCGATGACAACCTCATGTATAATAGTGGAACTAGAAATAAACGTACTGCAGATGAAAATTCTAGTGACGCAACGCAAACTGAGGCAGAAAGTTCAACTTCGGTGATGCAAGACGAAGTTAAATCACCATCAGAAAACTTCATTAATGTTCCGCATTACCAAGAAAATGATGCTTTTGGTCCCCTTCCAAGAAGCTATGACGGCGATTTAACCAGATACAAAAGAATAAGACGTGTAAAACAGTTACACAATGCACAAGATATAAATTCTAATATTTAAAATAGATATTGTGTAATTTTTAAGTATTTTAAAATATATTTGCTTAGAAATACATTAGTTTATATTTAAATTTAATTTTGAACTCGTTTATAAGTTTCAGCATGTTTGGTTGTTTGAAACTAATCTTGCAATATTGCCTTGTGAAGTTTGTTTCATAAGATTTCAATCGATATTCGTAGGAACGACGATACTTTTGTAAGAACTCTGTATTTAATTTAAATAAATGAAAAAATATTACCATTTCTATTCAGCCTTAATTATTTTTATCTCCTAAACTAAGACCTCTTCTGGTCAGAGGTAATGCACAAGGACCTCGTGGGATACTACGAGATAATACTTACATTAGTATATTCTTATAATACTTATGACTTTAAACTTGATCATTAACGAGCACGATCTTAAATCCGAGTATTACGGTGAGCACGTTCAAGTTCGGTGATTATAGTTTTTCTGCCCCGCCCCAAGAACATATATGCAGTAGTTTACCACACACTCGCAGAGAGCTTTATAAGTCTGTGTTAAAAGTTTAGTGTTTGCAACTGCTCTCATTTGCTTGAATATGTTAATTAATGTCCTGACTCTGCCAGTGAGATGCGAAATATGTGGTCCTCATTGCAACTCGTCGTCATTTTAGAAAAACATAGTAATTTTGTTTACCGGTGTTGTGTTTTTATTTATTTATTTATTTATTGAGGCACACAAAACAGAACATAACACAAAGCTTAGTCTTATAGATAGCTAACACAAACAGTTTCGATCTTAGCTATGCTCCTAAATATGTGTACACAACATGGCAATGTAGGTGATACAAGATGAGATTACATGCAACCTAAAGAGCTAAGTATTAACATAAAAATAAAAATAAGTATAAAATTTGAAACGTATTTAAAATGTATAAGATGTTTAACATATCAGACCAACGTTGATGACATAATATGCGTAACATTATTTTTAAATTTACTAAATTTGGTATTAAATATGTCAAGGGTGTCCAAATGTTGGGGTAGTAATTCATTATAGAGACGACACATTCTAACAATGGGATTATAAAAAGAAGTATTATTTAGATGCACATTCAAAGTGAAGCTTCGGTAGTGACGCTGACGTAACCTAAACCTCGTGTTAAAATTTATTTGGGAAAGCAAGTCAGGACAGTCAACAACGGAATGTATGATCTTATGGAGACATAGCAGATCATGACACTTGCGGCGGGATTCAAGGGAGAGCAACTTAAACTTGTCTAATCTGTCTTCATAAGAGCAAACATCCCGGCCAACGTTGTATCTGAAGCACAATATTCTGAGGCACTTCCTTTGGATACTTTCTATTCTATTTATATGGACAGCATAGTAAGGAGACCAGACAGGTGAATTGTACTCTAGTACAGTGCGAATGAGTGCATTAAAAAGGAGGAGAAGACTACGAGCCTTCCTGAACTCCTTCGTGACTCTCAATATGAATCCCAGAAGGCTCGAAGCTTTGCTAAGTATATTATTATAATGTTCGCGAAAAGTCAATTTTTCATCAAAAGCAACACCGAGATCCTTTACAACCTGCTTTCTTTTAAGAGAGTGACCATTAAGATTGTAATTGAACAGTACTTTCTGAGATTTAGTTGTAAAAGAGATAACACAACATTTGGTCACATTTAAGGTCATATAATTCTCAACGCACCAACTGTCTATGCTCTCTAGGTCTTTTTGAAGGATTTCCGCATCCTGGGTACTCTTAATGATAGAAAAGACCTTAAGATCATCTGCGTAGAGCAGGCAGTGATTGGTTAACTTATCTACAAGGTCATTAATAAATATGACAAAGAACAATGGACCCAAATGCGAACCCTGCGGCACCCCCGAGAATGCCACAAATGGAGAAGAAACCTCGCCCTTAATTGCAACTAGCTGACTCCTTCTGGACAAATAAGACTCGATCCATCGCAGCAGACTGCCATGAATGCCGTAGCTTGAAAGTTTACAACATAACAAAACGTGGTTAACTTTATCGAAAGCCTTAGAAAAGTCCGTGTAAATGGAATCTACTTGTTCTCTTCGACCAAAAGCGCAGCAGAGATAATCTTTATAAACTAGTAAATTGGAAAGGGTAGACCTACCCTTGACGAAACCATGCTGCCGCGGAGATACGTACGGGGAAAAGTGATAATATAAATGGTCGTATACAACAGACTCAAAGAGTTTAGCGATGCATGACAGTATACTGATTGGCCTATAATTCTCACAGTTTGACCTGTCGCCGGCCTTAAAAATAGGGACTATGTGGGCCATTTTCCACATCGTTGGGAACACTCCAGAACGAATTGAGTTGGTGAATATTGTGGACAAAGGCGTGCAAAGTTCCTTACTACAATGTTTAATAAAAGAGGGAGGTATACCGTCGGGTCCCGCACCTTTGTTGGCATCTAGATTAAGAATTTTCTTTAGAATGTCTTTTTCATTAATGTGTATAGTGCTTAATGAGCTAACTTGTCGATTGTTAGAGAAGACAGGCACTCTAATATCAGACGTGGGAGATTCGTATACAGTGCTAAAGTAACTAACGAATAGGTCACAAATATCTTTGTGATTTGTAGAGCTTTTGTTATTATATGTCATGGTTAAGGGTATTGAGTTAGTTTTTTTTTTGTTGTTGACATATCTCCAGAAATGTTTTATGTCCGATGTCAATGAGGACTCAACAGATGAAACAAAACTTTTGTAATCTTCATTCATAAGTTTCTTACATCTAGTACGGAGCATACTAAAAGTATCATAGTCTCGAGGATTTTTATAGAGACGGTATCGTTTGTGATATTTAGACTTTTCTTTCAGACCGCGTTTTAATGCAGGACTGAACCAAGGAGGATATGAGTATGAATCATCTTTTGTCAACGGAGTATGCTGCACTATAACTTCGTTAAGGATAGAGTAAAATTTGCTAACCGCACTATCAACATCAGTATCGTCCAACTTCGTAGACCAGTCAACCTTAGCCAACTCTTCTTTTACTTTATCATAGTGACATTTAAAGAAGTTAAATTTCTTACGCCTTGCCGGTTTTAGACTTTTCAGGTTAATGTTACTCAGGTCGCAGTCTATAATGAAAGGTGGGTGATGTTTATCAGGGCGACTTAATGGCTCGTAGCCATAAACTTGAACAGTGTTCAGTGTTGAAAGCACAAGGTCAAGGTAACGGTTATTTTTGTTGGGAATGTTATTAAATTGACGGAGGCCACACAAATTTAGGGTGTCAATCAGTTCCCTAGATTTTTGATCCGAGGGTAGGCTTGGGATCATTACACAAGAGTTAGTACTCATAGACCACGTAAGAGAGGGCGTGTTGAAATCGCCAACAAGAATGAATTCGCCGTTGGAAGAAGTTTCTGTTATTACCCTTTGACAGTTATTGTAAAACGATTCAATTAAATGACTGGGTAAATCGGGGGGTAAGTAACAGGTGCAAAGATTCATAAGTTTGCCAATTCCGGTGTCGGGAAAAGAAATTGTCACCCATAGATCTTCCGCGGGAGACTCCCAATCCGATTGGCGCCTAGCATTTATACCCCTTTTGACAGCTATAAGCACGCCGCCACCCTCGACTTTATTAACAGAACTACTATGGCGGTCTCTTCTAAAAACCGTGTAACGGTTATCCAGTAATTCATTGTCAAAGACGCTAATATTTAGATTAGTCTCAGTTAGGCATATTACATCAAAATTGCTATTTAGAACATTCAAATAAAATTCAGGCATCTTAGATCTAATACGATTTACATTCTGATAATAAATTAACATGATAAAAATATTTATAAAAGGCAAATTATTGCGACCATACATTACTAAAAAGAAAAGAAGAGAGAGAAAAAAACAGGAGAATACATTAAAGATTATGTTAATTTGTCCAGGCTGTCCATATTTTTGATGTGGATGTGGTCGGTTCTTTCCGTTTTCCGAACATAAACCCGTCCAAATTTCACCCAAACGAATTTATAGTTGATCTCTTTCGCCTTTTTCCTTGTTGCGGCATGTAAAGCCTTGCATTCGGGTGAAAGATGTTCCGAAACGTAGATGTTACAGTTTTTTGAAGTGATCCCCACATGAGTGCTATTCAGAGGCTCCTTAGAAGAATTTCGTAGCCGACGACAAGCGGACAGAATTTGATCTCTCAGAGTGGAGTTAGAAAGGGTGACAATGATATTGCGAGGGCGATCAGATGTTGAGTTTATTTTAGCTACTCTTCTGCATGACAATATACTCGAGTCGTCTATCTGAAAATTGATACTGGTGCACAGGTTCTTGATCAGAGTGACAAGATTTTCATTTCGACTCTCAGGGACTGCCTGTAGTTCAAGATTTTGGCCCCTGGATATTTTTTCTATTACAGATATACGATTGTTCAAAGTATCAATTTCTTTTTGTAGGTCGCTATTGTTCCTTTCCAATGCTTTGATAGTGTTCATTTTACTGTTAATTTCCGCACGCAGGTCTCGCTGATCAGCACATATAAAGTCCGTAGTGCTTGTGAAATCCTCCTTCAACTGTTTCATAGCGTCACGAATTTCAACTTGTACTTGTTTTTTTACTTCCTCGTGAACTACGGTACGGATTTGATCCATTAAGTGACTCAGAGAGGCATTGAGTTTTTGTTCCAATAAATTACTAATATTTTCCATCGTCACTTGGGTATTCGGATTGTATGTAGATGCTCGTATGTCCATGTTATTGGGAGGGGTACGTATGTCGAAAGACATGTTCATAGACTCCTGTTGTGGCGAAGCTGTTATTTGAACATTTGACGAACTCGCATTAGTTGATCTATTGCGTCGAGTAACGTTATTGCAGGATGTACACAACCACCTCTGTCGATAATTCTCAGTCAGGTTCGAATTTTGGTCAGCGCCTATATTAACACAAGTGTAGTGAAAATAACAACTACATTGTTGGCATCGCAGGAAACCTTCCGAGCTATTAATTATTTTATTACAGACAGAACAAATCATGTCCAAC